GATTGATGAGTGTCAAGAAATTGAATGAAATAAAATTAAAAATTAGACACTGAAACATCGCGTAGACCATTCGAAGATTTTGGATAAACAATTGCCCAACGCTATTGTTAGGGTTGCCATTGAAACTTTGCCTAAGTTTGTAAACTTTACAGTAAGTAATAACGAGAGAAAATGATGGTCTCCTAATTTTCTCTTGGTTGTACAGTTTTCAAAATAGTTCGCGTTAGATACTTCGAAATTGTAGCAACACGAGTTACACGGTCCTAACGCATCGGAACAGAAGAAAGTCGATTATCGTTCTATTTACAATAACAACAAGGATATTTCAACCTTACCAAAATATTACCAGGCTGTCCAGGGAACAGATTAGCTACCTTAGAGTCAGAAACAGTCATTAAGTTGTGCTTTGAAGTAACGGCTTTATTCATGAGTTTCTTGTTATTACCACTGCTCTCTGATATTTTCAACAACCCTTCAAGGCCTTCTTTATCAAAACCTGCCAATGGAAATGTCAACATATCATAAAATGCCACGAGCCGAAAGATATTCTGTTCACAGATGAATAAAATAGACAGTGTAACTTTAAGCCTTGGAGAAGACGTCTCCCAGTTCCCCACATCTTTTTTAAGGAATGCAACGCTTATTCAGTCAGAATATCTATTTACATTTGAAAACACATTTATATGAAACTTTTACATCATTTCAATTTTGATGCATTTTTTTTGAAAAATCACATATAATCATTTTTAATCAAAACAAGCAATCAGTCCCCAGGAAGTGTATCAGCTTAGATCGTTTCGGAAAATTCAGCATGATTCCACGTTGTTTTTATAACATGGTTTAATAATTATAGACCTAGTTTAAGTCTCGAAAAGCTTTGATTATTTGAAAGATAAAGATTGGCACAATGAAGACTGCATTCTCAAATTAAGACTAACTCTGTCAAATTAACGTTGGTCTGAGTCGATGAATATTGGACTATGTAAGGAAAAGTACTCGGATGCTCAGATTTGTTCTTTATTATTGTTATCGTTATTATTAGTTTAAATGAAAATAAAACTGCCTGGGAGGTCAATTTAATGTACCTTCCTGGAATCGCACAAATGGTTCGTGTAAGACAAAGAAAAAAAATATGCCTTAAAATCATCATTAAGATGTAAAGAAAAAAAAGTCGATAGGATATTTAATTCAAACGAGGATAGCCGAACGGAAGAACATTACAAATAATAATTAGCTGATAAAGCAGAGGAAAGGCGCCTCCTTAAGGCGAAAAAAAAAAGAACTTTCAACTCATATTTTTCCATTTGACCTCCTGAAAAACAGCTTTAGTGTGTTTTAATCTTAAGGAGTCGATTGGGTCTTCAAAAACTCAGTCATTTTATTTATTTATCTATTTATTTTTTTGTGAGGGGAGGATGAGAGTGCTGCAGAGATTTAGCGGTGGATCACACTTATTTCTCTCTATGTAAAAAAATTTCTACCTCGACACCAGACTGCATTACTGATAAAGTGAAAACTGCTATTTTTAAAAGATCCTGCAAAGCAACGAGGGAGTTAAAAATAAATATTCATGGTCAGAAGGGAGTTTTAGAAAAGAAGCTTGAACCTTTCCGCGCTTTTCGGGGTCCGCAATGAGCGGGGGCTGGTTGCTTAGACGTACTCCTCCTTAGGTTATTGCTTTGAGGGTCTCAATGGGGTTAACGGTTAGCCGTAAAATGGCTAAAAAGTTTAGTTGTTGGGCGCAAAAATTGACGGATTTTAACCGTTAGCCGTAGAAGGATCAAGCGAAATTTTTTCAAACAGCAGTGGAAAGAAAGTAACCATAGCGGTTAAATAGCCAAAATTTCAACCTGTAGCCCTAAAAGCCATCATCTCATTGACCCTCTTGCTTTAAACAAACAACTGATCAATATGTAAATAGTGATTTCTTTCCTTTCTTTCTTGATAATGTCCATACTCTTTCTTTAGATATCCTTTGGTACTGAACCGACATGAGTAATCTTTTTTTAACAATAAGGAGCTTAGCTTCTTCGAGACGATGTTGATCAGTTTCTCGTTCACATGAACTTAATGTTTCATTCATGGCAGGAGCCCATTACCGGGCTCCTGTCATGGGTGATTCTGATAGAAGAAATTAGATAAAGTCGCTCATGGAGGTCAAGCCTTTACGCCCTAACATCAGAATGCATATTCTCCAGACTGTTCTCTATACATCTCCTAAGGTGCTGATAAGGAGAATTTGTTCAACAACAGGAGCCCATTACTCCTGTTCAACAATCAAGAGCCTGTTTAGTTGGTGATCTTTTCTTTTATTCTCGTGTAAATTAAAGCTCTCTTTGTTAAAAAAAAAAAAAAGGCTCATTATATGCATTTCTAAGAATGTTAATGCAAAAAAATTTTCGGTGACTCTTTCATTTTCTCCTAGTTGATTCTTTTTATGATTTGCCTGAGCGACAATGCAACGATAGAGCCTGGGAGCCACTCTGTGAACGCGACAGCTTTTATTCTAATTCTTTGTAATTTATTCAAATATTAGTGATTGCGTGATACTTATGAGTTATAATATACAGAGAGAGAGAGAGAGAGAGAGAGAGAGAGAGAGCGAGAGAGAGAGAGAAAGATAAAAAGTAAAAAAATCAAGGAAAAGAATGAACCACAACATACATGTAGGCGATAAACAACCTGCAGTTGTTTAGTTTCCTTCTTAGCCGGTTGCGTCACGCAACGCTCTTCGACAGTGGCGTGACGACTCTGCTTGTTCATTGCCTGGTTCCTCATTCATACATTCCTTATGGAGGGAGAGGATCTGGCTTTTATTCTTCCAAAGTCGTAGATACGTTACCCTGCATTAACGAACTGGTTCCCATAGCATTCGAATCTGTAAGATCCTACCCGGTGTGTCCTGGCTTTGTATTTACCATAGCTGACTATGGCTGTGCTAATGGAGGGACCTCGATGTCGCTTATTTATGTGTGTGTTGAAGAGCTCAGAAAGTTGCATGGCAATGAGCTGGAAATCCTTGTTTATTAAGAGGATCAGCCGGTTAATGACTTCACTTCCCTTTTTTCATACGTGCAAAGTATTTGCTTTTTTTAATATTATTTAAAGCTTATCTTAAATATGTACAAACGAGCTCCATTTTCGCAAGAACAGAGATAAATAGTTGTTCCTAGTTTATATGACAAGAAAAAAAGTGTTTCTTTCGCTCTGACGAAGGGCTAACGCTCCAACCGTCAGCTTTAGAAACTCTTTACAGTGTCCAATTTACGCTATTAACTCAGTTGATAATACCAAATTTCCTAGTTGTTTTCTCCCAGCGACGCAGTACCACAGCTTCTTTAGAAACTTACCTCCTTTATTCATATGTTGCTTTGAAATATCTTTTTTCCATTCATCATTGTTTCAACACTGACATTCACATAAGAAACCTTAAAAGATTTTTAAACTTAAACTCTGTCGTACCTCTCTTGCCTTTTGATTTTTCCTGGCGCATTGTCTCTCCTTTCTCTGTTTCTTTTTCTTTTTTCGTTATTTTTCTCCTTTTTTTCTTTTGTTTGAGGCCTTGTCTCAGGACCTCAGAGCTATTTGACCTCATATCCAAACGTTTACGTGGCAGCGAGTGGGCCTCAGTTTTACAAACAGTGTTTCCCTCGTGGTTCAATACAACTCGGTTTGTGCAGCGTGGCCCTTCATTGGCTGAGCAAAAAACCATGCAGCGTAACTGGAGGTCTGCTTTGTCTCCAGTCCCAAAACCAGGAGGAGAGGGAACTTTTTACAAGACAGGCAGCAATGGATTGGGAAATGTTCCTTCTAGCTAGAGCAAAGGAATTGTCATTAGGTATGTAGCAGCCTATTTAGCTGGCGTGTTTTAAAGCTGCCGGTGAGCAAATGAAGCCGATGGAGCTGCGAGTCATTGGCTGTTTTTGGAATTGGGAAACTTCACGCTTACAATGAATGGACCCATTCTTTCCTTTGGAGGAGGTAGGTAGCTTAAAATCCTGACAAATTAAGTGTATTATGAGTTACATGAAAGCAACAACTTTTCTTCGGATCTTTACATCGTGTTCAGTGCACACAGCGATTAAATTTCTGTGGCATCTTAACTCTGTGTTAGGGAGAGGCATGATTAATATTATGAGGGAGGGCAAAATAAGAAGAGAGATGGAGAGATCTTTCCCTTCCTTCATTGTAACTGACAAACAATAAACCTTTTTAGGCAGGGTCTTAGCCTTGGCAGTTTTAGCTGTGGATGACGATGGACACTTTACTGGAGACACAAAGAACACGAAATTCTCCTTTTCCCAAATAATGTACGATGTGTGGAAGAGCTTGGCAGAGGATTATCTTATCTCTGTGGTAAGATTAAAAAAAGAAACAAAGAAAAGAAAAAGTAAAACTGCTCTCAGAAGTTATGGCTGCTGGCGTTTATATCCTGTGTATGAGACTTGAAGTATTTTCATTTCTCTTACAAGTATATCAATGGTCAATTAAGCCCCAAAATTGGTATCAAAACAGCTCCATGGGTAAATTGGCTCCAGAGCTAGGACAAACTCACCCGTTCGAGTTCCATTTTTGGGGAAAATCAGGCCTTTTCATTTTACAGTGAATTAGATACGATGTTAGTCCATCGCAGGCAGCCCCTACCATTTCCTTTGGTTAATCCTGGGGACATGAACCCGCACTTTTTGACATGGAGTTAAGTGCTTCTCTCGATTACAACTATTTGACTCACAACGAAGACCTATAAGAAAATTGAAATGAAGACCACCACTCTTGGTTCCGTATCCACACCGTTTCTAATCGTGGTTTATCTGTTTTTGCATTCATTATCCTCTTGATTATTTGACAATCTGGATAATGCTTAGATGGTGTTAAAAGAATTCGAAGACAAGAAAGGAACGGAATGAAATAATAACAGGAGGAATAATTTAAGGAATTAATTGAATATAAAGAACATACATGACAAAACTGATTAGTAAAAATGAGTACCAAATGTCACAATGTCTTCACAGGATGAGGTTAATAAGATCACGCTTCTTAGTTACATGCGGACACGACAAGAGCTGCAGTCGCCATTTATGTCAGCGGAGAGTCCTGTGAGGAGGGTCGGACTGTCACTTGTGTTACTAGATATCAAAACATTTCCTTGTCCCTATACAAAAATGCGCCTAGAGATTGGAGACACAGAGAAGGTTGCAAAATCATTAACGGAAGAAAGTGTGCTTGGGGCAACTTTACCTTCTTGTCAGGTGTGTTGGCAGTAACTCTTTCACTCTCAAGATCTCATTAGTAATTCTCCTTATTGTCTTTCAAAAAGCTCCGAAGAATTTTCCATTGGATCAACAAATAATCCCCTTATTGATATTTCCTTAACTCTCATAACTTCTTTCTTAACCGGTTGCGTCACGCAACGCTCTTCGACAGTGGCGTGACGACTCTGCTTGTTCATTTCCAGGTTCCTCATTCATATATTCCTTATGGAGGAAGAAGATCTGGCTTTTATTCTTCCAAAGTCGTAGATACGTTACCCTGCATTAACGAACTGGTTCCCATTGCATTGGAATCTGTAAGATCTTACCCGGTGTGTCCTGGCTTTGTATTTACCACAGCTGACTATGGCTGTGCTGTTTTTGTTGTTAGGAGAAATTCTGTCTTGGTCACTCATAGGAGTTCAAAGTCTAAGGTTGCTTACCAAATGTCGGAACTAATAGACCAGATTAGTCAGAATAAAAGTGAATTATTAAAAGCAGAATTTTCCTTTTTCAACGACACGTTATCTTCAATTGTTATTATTTCATTTAGTATCTTCTTAATAATTTTAAAATTACTGGTTTTTTGTGGCTAGGAATTTATCCGGCACAAGTGACGGAAGAGTCATGAGAATATAAAATCTGCGTATTTTTTATTTTTTGAGAGTATCAAGGCTCGAGCTTTGATTAAATATTGAATGCAATAATGGCCAATAATGGATCCCACTGAAGAACTGATTGACCTATTCAGCCGCGTAGACTGTATTTCTTAAAGCAGTCTAACGTTACCATCTGCTCCTGTACATCCTGCAAGGCAAGCTGAAGAAAGTATTATTAGCATCTTTTTGGTACTCAGGTCTCTCCGATGAGCGAACAGTGGAAGAGAAAACCACAATTGTCGATGAATTTTTCCTCCATTTGGAAGCAGAATTTGCAAGAGTGATGCACGATTACAGATCCAAGCTTGTCGCTGCAATCATGAAAGTGGAAAAGAATTTAAATATACACTTTCTTTGCAAATATGAAATAAAGCGCTGGACGAACAATTATTAAGAGATGTCCGTGCCAGGCATAAGTTGGCCGCCCATATGAATCCTAAAAGGGCAATTGAAACGTGGTTTATTAAAGGCACCAAGCTGGCTGGGTAACAACGAAAAATCCTTCATAGTTATTTTTTTAAGCTTTAAAATTTCAGTACAACATACAACACATTATTTCAATACAATGTTGTGAACCGCTTCGGAGCGGAATAGACATTATCATATAGTAAAAAAGAATAAACTTAACATTCAGTCTACGTTTCTTTCGAAGAAATAAATTAATGCTACGAATTGTCGGAGGGAAGTCTCCTATGTATTTTAGGTAATGAAGGCCTCAGATGCAAAGAGACCGAAATGAAAACTCCATAAAATGGCGAACTATGAATCTGGTTTTGACTTAACGCACGTCCTTGGTAAGGGTGTGAATCATGAAGTTTTTGATTACCTCAATCTGTTTTTTTTAGTTTTGTAATTATTTCACAAAAACATTTAACGTAGTTTATCTATGTTTTTTTTGCTTTTGCCATATATTAAAAGTAACATCTCCTTTTCAAAACATTGGCCCTGATTTCGATTCGGAAATCGAAACAAATTAAAGTTTATCTTTTACCAGCTCTTTCCGTCTTCCGAAAAGCCTTAACTGACCTTTACCAGCGGCTGGTTTAAATTGATCACTTGGAGCGGTTTCTGAGAAAGCTTGAATTTATCAGTAAATTTGCATTTTGTCGTCGAATAGTCATCTCGATTGGCCAGTCGTAAGACGGAGGGTATTCTTTAGTTCAGTAAACGGTTTTTCCCCCTATGTGTAAAACACTTATAAGAATGCCCGTGTCTTCAATAACTTTGACTGTCAACCCTAAGGGAGCCAATCAGGGTGACAAATATCGATAAATTTTCACTGTTATTGCAACAAGTAAAAAATTAATTCTGTATAGTAGCTGAGATAACAGCGAACTTCATTTGCAGCTTCGAGGATCTGAAAAGCACTCACCAGGTACTTAAGAATATGACAGCGTCCAGTCGTTTTTAAAATAAACTTTTCGATAGGAGCTGAGGAGCAGATGGCAAAAAATCAAGACTTTCTGATTGGTCATTCCCTTAACTTTTAAAATATCTAATCACTGCAAATTATGGAATGAAATTTGTGTTTCTGTTTTTAAAGTTCTTTCGGCAAAGAAACTGTCCCTCGATTAAAACAATCTCGCAATGGCTGTTTGAGGAAAACGAGATAGGTGGTTCACTTATCATGCAACTAGGTCATACGTTATGCAGATATATCATGTTTTATATGGTAAACTCATTCAATAATTGGAATCCAAACCCGGAGAATTATACGTGTACAGTTACAATCGCAATCGATAAAACGTTATTGTTCGTAGTGTTTATTGTAATAGTATTAAGTTTGCAAAGCAGTGTGCTCGTGTCAAGTATTTAAATAGTTTTGTATTTAGGAAACAAATTGGAATTTGTTGCCATTTTATTCGACGACCCACTGAGCTTTTGTTTCCCCACGCAACGTAAGCCAGTCGTACCAGTGGAAAACACGAATGGCGCTGTCATGTTGCGCTGTACGGCTCACGGATTTCGCATCTTTTTCGCTTCTGCCGTTGTTTTCTACGCCTTTTGCAGGGTTCAAGGTATGTATAAAGGATTCAGGATGAGTATTGGAGATTTAGGATGTGATTTAAAGGTTATACAGCTAGAATTTTTACGGGTTAGGCGATCGTAAGCACAAGAACGTTACCTCTGCCGGTTCATCAGTGTTACGCCATGGTACAGCTATTAGTCAAAGAAAACGAACTTCAAAACTCTTGCGAGGAATATTGCTGAGATGGCCCTCAAAATAAGTATTCAAATGCTGTAAATAATTGTAATGCAATCGAAACTATACCGAGGAGCGTGAGGTCGAGAATATCGACCCAGATTTCATGCGTAGTTTACATGATTATGCGTGTTCTCATTGTTACCAATTCAATTTTAGCTTTAGCTTGTCTGTAAAGAGGTTTGTCCTAGAGGTTTACGCTCCGTGTAAAACTATGGATTTGCCATGCTTCTTGCCAACGTATTTGCTAGAATGAAGTACTTAATCCAGAAAGAAGGTAGTGTTCGCGAAATATGTTTTGTAACTAATTTGCAAATAAGCTTGAACAGGTGGCTGGAGATATACACATTATCATGAATATCGCGCAGAATTATCACACAATCTTGTTCGGCAAATGTTACTGTATGAGTTAATTTTCGAGAAAACGAATTTATCGAAAAAAAAAATTTTTGATCAAACCGGACAACGTCACACAACCAATTACCGTCTCAATTCTTGAAATTTAATTAAATGCAGAACATGAAAACACAAACACTAGGTTGTGAATGTCATCGCCAAATGTTATCGCTGGAGAAGTAACCGCAACATTTAGACTTAAATTGACTCGGTCGATCTAAAACTCTTTCAAATTTATTAAGAAATTCTGGTAAATTTTATGGATCTATTGGGAAGTTTATGTGGTTTGTGCCAGTAATTAGCTGTATTGATTGGGCTGCTCATAAAAAACAATCTAAGCTTTTATGGAGTCCGCTTTACTAATTGTTCTTTCGCCTTCATCGTCAATAAGCGAGAACAGGCTTAGGTTGGGTTAATGGCACCCTTTTGTCTTACCTTTGAAATACTCCTAGGGTAAAAGGCGAGGTTTAAGGGTTTTACGTTTAATTAGACCCTAGGGTTTTCTGTGTTAAAATACAGAAGCAAACGCTTCGAATTAAGAGAAATGAGCTCAATTTTCTATTGACATGAAAATCGATTTACACTAATCATCTAAATACGCGAGCGCTCAATGAAAATCTCGGCGATGCTGTTTCCGAAAATCAAGACTTAGAAAACAGCGAATCACTCGGTCGACTCGAGACGATTTCCCATTTGTTGATTAGCTTACATCTATTGCGTTTCTTCCAGAATTTGGGAGTAAAACTGGGTGCTAAAAGGAGCAGAAATAGAATGATTTGTAAAGAGATTTTTTTGGGGGCAGCTGTGTTGAGCATATAGATAACTTGTGGTTATCCCTAATCACATTCACCATTAAGTATTTAGCTATTTCCACCTGGGAAATTCAATTCCTTTCTTTTTAAAAATTTGCAATTTCCGAGCATACAATTTTTCAAAATTAATCATGGAAAACCGAAGCTAATTAAGATTGCCTCATGGTTCACCGCAGTATTGAAAATTTTATATATCCAAGTCATTCATTCTTCTGTACCGCGATTGCGTTACGACTCCGCGTTATCTGCTGTTCGGGTGGTGTTTTTCTTTACTGCAATTTATGGCTTAACTGCGAGTTAACGACGATAATATGCATTCATGGGTTTGAAAAATGTCTGCAAAAACAAAGCAAAACGAGACAAAAGACGACGAACATAAACTAAAATGTAAGACATGTTCTCTGTTTCTGCTGCTATACTACACATTTGATGTAAAATCATAATGAAAAATATGGAGAACGTAATTCCGAATAATTGTAGTGTGTTGGCGCTTATATCTAAGAGCCTCTCTTGAAATATTTCACGAGTGCACTTAAGAGCAGATGCAGACCAAATGGTGCCACAAAATTGAATTTCCTTTCACGTTTTGCAAATTGAAAATGTAATTCTTTCAAACAAGTACTGTTTCCTAGCGCGAGCCTATTCTTGAAATTTCCTTTTTTGTTAATGACGTAGGGCTTCCTCGATGTACAATTTTTTTCAGTTTTCAGTTTTGTAAAAGTCGATGGGTGTCTATAGAAGGCGAGAAAGTACTGAGTGAGAATGAAATAGCAAATGAAAAATTATCTATTTTCAACCTATAACAAAACCACCTCCCTTCTTTACAAATAATTATCTTCTCGTAATATGTAAAGTTTTAATTTCTGAGTCTGATCCATTAAAACTCTTAACTTCACAGAAATTTCTTCGTGAACTGAAGTTTAAAAAAAAGGAAAATCAGTCATGTTAACAGAATGAAAAAGTGACACACAGTTATTTGAAATAGCGGAGAGGACCTGAAGTCAAATCAGCCACATTGTTTGACCTAGCTTTATCTTGATGAGTAAGCGTATCACAGCACGAACAAAACCACATACATGATGGAAATCATTTCCCTATTTACCACCCGCAGGCAAAGAGGAATGAAAATATTTTCAATGTAAATATTTTTAGCTTATCTTTCGGAGAAAGCCTGCCATTCAGTTGAATTTTTTTTTTGGTGATGGCTGATGGCTCCTCACTTAAAATGAAATTGTTCAAAACAGAAGAACAGCTAGGATTGAAATTCACGTCCCTCATGTAGGCCTTCTCTGGTCAATTTTCAATGTAATGAAGTCTTTCAAAGGCACATTGCTTATAAATTCTTTACCAAAATAGTTCAAGTATATTTATTAAAAAAAGTTTTTAAAAAAATATTTAGTCATGTACTTCAAACTATAAGGTCATTGCATTCATTTTTTTCGTTGACCACATAAACATTTTCTTCTTCTTAGGAAACGTTTGTCCAAAACGTTGGTCGTATTTAGCGGGCTACTGCTATTTCTTCTCCAACAGTACTGCTACTTGGTCCAACGCTCGGCAACGCTGTATAGAGACTGGGGGAGATCTCGTGAAAGTAACTTCGGACGAGCAAAACGCTTTTGTCGCTTCACGTTATTCGAGCTCACGTTGCTTGACGGAAGGAACCTGGATAGGACTCCGTCGAAATCCCAAAAATTTGTCCCAATGGGTATGGCGGGATGATTTCAATGTGAAGCCTCAGTACACAAAATGGCACAGGAAGGAGCCAATGAACGAACGTTTAGACAAAAACTGCACAGAAATACACCCGAGTAAAAGTATATACTGGTATGGAAGAGAGTGCTCTGCTCGAGGATGCTATATTTGCGTAAAAGGTAAACTATGAGTTATAATGGTTTTCTTAAGATTTTGGACTTTTAACTCTTTCCTTGTTCCTTGGTCTCCTTGGCGATCAACCTGATTTTTCTTTCAGATGCCAACGAGTGTAACAATTATAATATCTGTAGCGGCCAACGTTGTGCCAATGTCCCTGGAAGTTATAAATGTTCTTGCGGGACAGGCTATACAGCGACCAAAGAAAAACGAAAATGTCAAGGTACTAATCACCTGCCCACCACCTACTACTAAAATTCTTTGAAGTTTCAAATCTCCTTGGCAAAGGATTTCGTTTCCTGAGATACTACTGAGCATATATGTGATACATCCCACTCACTATATACATACCGAATTTGCCTGGGTGAAATTCACATTTAGGCAAGATACATTTATACGATATTAACAATAATAATAATAATATTATGATTTAATGACATATTGCGTAATTATCAGTGTGAAATTTTCAACTGTGCATTACAATATTAAAAATTAAACTAAAAATGTTTGTTATTGACCTAAATACAACGCTTGACTGCATTTACGATGTGCTCAAAGACATTTGATATCCTTGCGGGTAACAGAGCCTCTTTAAAAACCTTCTCCGGCTTTTGAAGAGTCAAAACTTCAAGTACCCTTTGTTCACATAAGCATGAGTAGTGTAACTCAGCTGTGATAATCCGCTTTCAAATCCATACAAATACAAGTTTATAAACCTTAAACTTACCCAGACGGTATTCACTCGTATTTCACACAACATAAAATATGTCGTACAAATATTATTTTATCCTTTTTTGTTGTTGTTGTTGTTGTTGTTGTTTTGTTCTTTATCTCTTCTCTATTTATCCCTTTCTCAGACATTGACGAATGTAAAGATGAAAATGGTGGATGCCCTCATTTCTGTGTTAATACTCCTGGAAGTTACATTTGTCATTGTAGAGATGGATACGTGACTGAGAATAATGGCACAGTTTGTAGACCACGTGAGTATAAGTTAAACAAAATCGCATGTTTGTCTTTATCTCGATGGCATCGTCAAAGTAATTCACAAAACTGACGCGTTATCCTTAAAACTTACAGTTTCACGCTAATGTTGCATTGATTTTACATAAAATAGATAATTTCCCTCTGTTTTCGACGATCCGCAAGATCCGCAGCAAAACAATCATGTTACATTCCCTGTGTTAGAACTAATTATGGCAAATATAATAAAAGACATTGAGTTGCCTATGATCTGGAATTTAATCAAGGAACGGACTAAAACTGTTTATTTGATAAAATTTCAGTCACGTCCTGAGGTGCGCCATCGTTCATTGTACTGATGATACTCTCTGTAACTAGTTTTATCTTGTAATGTTATTGTCCATGTATGTAACTGTAGGGTAGGGTTTGATACTGGCTATGCTATACCTCCGCTTTAACAATTAAAAATTCAATTCAATTTTCATCCAGCTCCTTGTCATTTTTAACTGCTAAGTTATTTCAGGTTGCTGATACTCTCTAATTATCATAATTAGAACTAATTGTCATTTTATATTCAAAACATTGCTAAAAACTTGATTACGGGCACAGTTAAGTTATTGTTGTTGTTATTGTTAATGATTGCAGCAGAATTTTCGACGGCTGGAACCGAAATTAAAAGTAGAGAAGAGACTAGAATGACAAGCACAAAGGACACGAATGACACAAAGCTATTTACCAAGCCTCCTGCTGCTAAACCACCTGGTGAGTGTGTGACGACAGATTTTTAATTCAAAAGTGATTCTTTTATAACTCAATAAATTAAGAAAAACCCTAAGGAACAGTCGTTATTTATCGCCTGGAAAGAGTAAGTGGGGGAATTCAGAGGATTTTCGATTTTCGTTGTGTCAAGATTAAGTTTACTTGATCCCCCATTAGGTTCTGTAATATTCTTACCAAGTTAATTATCTACTGTTCTCCCATTCGTACTCTGTTGGTGACGACTGATCCCCCCTCCGTTTCCCCTGAAAACCACGTTATCCCCCCTCCCCACGAAAAATCCTCCGTACTTCTTCCCCAGTCGATAAGCAATGACTTTTCAATTATCCACTTTCACCATTTTTCTCTCAGATCCAGGAATAGAACCCGAAAAACCGTCGCCATTAACAAAGTTTGGAGTTCTATTCACCATGGCAATCCCTCTGTGTTTCATTGTATGTTTCCTCGTCCTGTGTTATATCAAGGGACCTGGAAAGGAGAAGAAGGAGGGTGGAATATCAGGACGCCTGATAGAGTCAGTGTCGCCCTTTTTAGACACTGCTTTTATGGAGCCCTCGGAGAAAAATGGGAAATCAAAGAGGTCGACCGGTGTATCATTATCCGAAGAAGAGCCTATGGTATAGATGACGATGTCAAAGTACATCAACGTGAATGCTGTAATGGAAGGACCTCTTTCATCTCAGGAAGTACATCATTAAGACTTTAACGTATGATGGAGAATATTCGTACAAGCTCAGACAGACGCAAACATTATATTGTGATGTTGGGATAGGAGAAAATTTTTTGTAAGGTTGAGTAGTACTGATAACGTCATGAGCTACGATTCGCCTTTAAAAGGCGTTAATTTATCATTTTTTTCGCAAAAACCAAGAAAAGAAAAGAAAAGACAGAGAGACGAAGTAAAACCGTAATCTACACTTCCAATCACACTTTTGGGACCCTGATCTCCGTCTCAAAGTTATTCTGTGAGAAACTATTCACATACTGGCAATGGACAACCTTTAAAGGGGGGAGGGGAGGGAGAGCAGGAAGGGTGAGAGAACTGCGCCAGTGGTGTTCCAAAAGAGTTGTCACTGCCAGTACTTGTGACAATGATATGACTACTTAATTTCAAAGGCTGGCATTCTCTAACTGGGTTAAGATGGAAAAAATGGCAACACCAAGCAAATATCAAATACTTACTGTTCCTTTTGGGTATTTTACTGCTATTATGTGTACAACACTCAAATAAGAGATAAGCTATATGGATGGATAAAAAAAAAATACATTCCGGATCTAATTTTCCTTACATTGACATCTACAATGAAAGGAAGTCATTTGAAACCTGAAAAGTCATGACAGACTAATATACTGACCTACAAAGCTTGCTTTTCAGTCCAAAGGGAATGATGTTTAATGAATATTCACCGAACTGGAGGTTGCTAATAGTTGTTATTTACCGTGCCGCGAAGTGGCTAGGTAAATATCCACCGTTGGCCACCGACACTGGGGTGAATAGTCGTTTTAGTATATGCTAAAACAGTAAGATAATATGGCATAATTAGATGATTTAACTCATTTTTTTCTGCAACGATTGCAATCATTTCAGGCGCAAAAATCGCGCGAGTTGCTCGGAGGTGAATACCAAAGGAGTAGCCAACCACAGCGCGCCTTCAACGCTATTCTCTGTTTTAGTATATACTAAATATCGATATCAGAATTACAGTTATAATAAGCAATTTACCCTGTGTCCTTAATCATAAAACAAAGTTATTTTACTCAATATCAGTAACAGTGGTAGCAGCAAAAATAAAACACTACTTTGCTCTGTTTCGTTATTAACAAAATAAAATTATTTTACCCCTCTTTGAATATGTTTATTTAGCTATGATTCTGGCATAATTATACTCTTGTCGTTTCTGATGTAAATATCGTCTGGGGCACAAAAGTACGCACTGTCACCCAGAGTCATCCTAGTCATAAAAAGGAGGTCAACGGTCCCTTAAATAAATAGCCCAACAACACAGGTTGAAACAAAATTGAAAGCTCTTTCACCCAGACGTTTGTTTGGGCCAAAAGCTGTTCCTTGGATACCGTTAAAAACACATATTAGCCCCACCCCCTCCCACCTTGAGATAGGAACTCTATTTATTATGACATTTTGAAGCTTAATTAAAAAACCAGTAATTGCAAAACGCGTTTTGATCATTTTGAAGCATTTTCTTTATTCTGGTTATAAGCCTCCCTCGGATATATGCCCTCCCTTGCGAAATTGTGTGAGCCTAAGTCTTATAAGCGAGAGTTCACGGTATGTGTTTCAGTTTTGAGCAACGTGAGAAGTTTGCTTATCCTGCAATTTCTCTAATACGAATGTTGCGTCATGGAGAGGAAGGTCGTCCATCCCACCTCAGCACCAGTTCCTTTCCGGTGCCAAAGCCACTTCGCTGATTTCAATAAGTTTTTCAATTAATTTCTAATCAATTTGTTTTCAGTTCAAGTGCTTCATTATCATAATAAAGAAATTTCAACTGAGGGCGTCGAAACATAAAAGCTTAAAATGTGTTACTTGATTTCAAGTTTACTGGAAATACTCTCTCAGTCGCTTTTTTTTTTTTGCCTCGAATATTGTATTCATCTGAAAAAAGGAAAATAACTATGGAGTAGAAATAACACATTTTTAATTAAACATAATGTGATTATGTTTACCCCACACCGTCTCCAAGAAATTAATTCAGGGATAGCTCGTTTTGCGACGCCGGGCAAAGGAGATTTTTGTTGGGTCTTAGTAAAATTTATTTGATCCCCCCATAAGGCTCCACGATGCTCTTTGTATCCCCCCCTCCCCCCGATATTGACTGTTAATCAGCTGTCAATTTTTTATAGCTCCCCCCTTATACTCTGTTGGTGACAGCTGATTCCCCCCCCATGTGCCCCCTGAAAGTATGTGATCCCCAAATCCTCCCCCCTCAAGGCGGCTTTTAAGATGTAATTTCCATTTGTCTTACCAAATAACAGCGTTGTCGGTCCACTTATATCTTGGTTTGATGTCTCCACTTTTAATTGAATAAGTGAAATACAAGACCGCAGTAATATAAAATGTAGTAATCATTTAGTGGAAAAAGGACATACCTAAGTGAATGATTTGTGGGGGTGTAAAGTGTTTCCTTAGACGTCAAAGGACTTGTCGATGAAATTAAACATTATGTAGCAGAGGCTCTCTAGAAAGTCGCGGGCTTCATGAAACACTGCACACGTTCGGAAAAAAAACCTCCCTAACCAGCTGTTTCCATGCTGCCTGTAGAGCAAGGAAAATTTATTGCCGCCCCCAATTTTATTTAAACTTCATAACATGTTTAAATACTGACTGGTAGTGTAATTTACATATGAAAAGCTTTTGTTTAATGTCTCGCTGTAGTCTTTTAAATGTCAAAAGTTTTTCGAACCCTCAATCTGTAGCGGAAGTAGTACCGCCACAGAATCCTACAGCCATTTTCGAATTTTGATTTCCAACTAACGCAGTGGTGACAGTTTCGGACGCAATTAAAAATGCAAATGTGACACTTTTTCAGCTGGATGGCATCAGCCGAAGCGAATCTGTTTCCGCACGCTAAGTCGATCGTCGAGACCAGTAGAAAAGGAAAGTAGGACCGGGGTGCTATCCATTAAAATATAGAGGATGTTGCGAATTAAAAATGCAACGATGAATGGCACACAGTCATCGAACTGCTTCGATCCTACAGCAATAAAAGTCGGTTACACCGTCACTTACTTCCTCTTACTCGTGGTTTCGTTGGCTGGAAATATTCTCGTTGGGATAATTGTCTTCAAGACGAAACGCATGAGAAAGCCCATAAACTTTTTTATTGTAAACATGGCTATTTCCGATCTTCTCTTCCCGATTTTCCTTTTCACCCCAAAGCTTATGGTGCTGCTTAACAACGGTCCTTGGATAATCAGTGGTGTTGTTGGTCAGATGTCATGCAAGCTGCGTCATTTTCTTACAGATGTCTCCTCGTTTGTATCCATCCAGAGTCTGATTCTGATAGCAGTGGATCGATTTGGAGCTGTGATGTTTCCTCTTCGTTCTCCACTAATCGGTTCAAAACTGTGCCGTCTCTTCATTCTGGGCACTTGGATCGTTGCGATGGCTATCCAGTCTCCATTCCTCTTCGCCCAAAAACTCGTTGACAATAAAGAACGAGTACGGTGCGTTTTGAGATGGGAAGAAACCTTTGGAAATTCGTCGTCTTTCGAAATCTACGCTTTAGCAGTTATAATTTTAATGTTCTGTCTTCCTTTGGTTTTGATCACCTTACTTTATCTCTCCATTCTCCTTAAACTCAAGACCCAGGCGATTCCTGGCGAGGGATCAGACAATGCGAGAGAACAACGTGAAAAAAGAGAGCGGAATGTGCTGAAGATGTCCATCGCTATCTTGACAGTGTTTACAATATGCTGGCTACCACATAATATCTACTGGTTCATAGACTTATTTCCGCCGGAAAAAATCGTTTTAACGTCGTGTAGTTTCCGTCACTTCGGGTCGATTGCGTTCCTTCTGGGTAGCGCAAATTGTGCTATAAACCCTTGCGTATGTTTCATTTTCAGTGAAAATTATCGGCGTGGTCTCAAGAATCTTTTTTGTTGCGCAACTACATCTCAGGCGTAATCTAGTAGCACCGTGGTGGCACTTTGAATTAGACGGGATTGGTTGCTGAACTAGTCACTTAAACATGAAATACCCAGCAACGCTCAGCGTCATCGGTAGGAACTGTTAAAAAAACTGATCGCTTTTAACTTGTGCCTTCGAAAACAGAACCTGCACTAAAAATCTTAAAAAAAAATTTACCTGTTGTCTGTTATCTTAACCGCAGATGCTTCACTTTTTTGTTTGAACTGTGTGGTCACTTAAAGTATTAGTTTACCTAAGGAACAGCAGCATCTTGGAATTATACAATGAGAGATTATTCTTTATTAGCAAAATTTAATGATACTGATCTATCAGCTAAATTCACAATTCTAACGGGATTTCTGTTTTTCTGCTCTGATAATTGCTCTATATTTATTTTTCGGAGAGAAATTCAACAGAATAAAAAACTATGACAAGCCATCATGTCTTTATTCAATAAAATGACGACTTCCGTTTCTGGCAAGCTCGACCAAAATGTCATAGCCCGGCTGTCAGAGCCCGGCTGTCAGAGCATCGGTCTAAGCTGTTAAAAAATGAGCTTAACAGTACCATACAATTACCTCTTTTTTAAAAATGAAAAAGAGGGCAATATCACACGAAAGGTATTTCAGTATCTTTGCAACGGCACATTCAATTGTAGAGAGCAAGGCCTAATTTCACATATTTTGAGAGTGTAATTCGTTATTAAAATAGTCTTCATTATGTTTTACTCCAGATAAAAATTTGCCATACAATCGGTCGAGAACATCTTGACTGTATCAGTTAGTATTTGGGAAATTTTTACAACGGTGTTAAACCTTTGATTAAAATTTGCGGTCATGACGACCTCTTTCGTAAATAACCATTTCAAAAGGTAAGTTGTTTATGTTGGTTTATTGAAAACGAAAAATAAATAATTGAGTTAAAATGGCATCATGTTTCAATATGCGTCGATCAATTAGAAGCTTCAGTATTCCCCCTGGGCAACCCCAGGGCAACCCCAGGGCAACCGGGTTCGTTCAAATTCCCACCCCCCGAGGCAAAACTTGCGTCCATATGCCCTACCCAAGTGCCGGGTTGATGGTCAATTGTTTTGTAAAGGGCAAATTCAGCGGCCGTTATATACGTTACTTTCTTCTCATTGACCAAGCTTAAAAACCCAGACCTTGTGGAACCTTTCTTCTGAGCCATCCGCTCACGAAAGTGAACTTTTTAACTTTAAACGCTCTAAAAACACGTGCGCTCCATGTACGGGTCTTTTGCAATTTTTTCTACTCTGCCTTCAGGTTAAGGAAAAAGTAAACATCTTTCGCTCACAATGCTGCTTAAGTCAGTTTCGTCCTGTTAAACCATAATTTTTACATTTCTTTTACCTTTTTTATACTTTCCACGGAAAAATGAGCAAAATAAAGACGTTCTCAATTGACCCTCGGCTTGGGTATGTTCTTGGTATGTTTTTAGTATTTTGGTTAGTCTCAGCCTGAACGTTCTTATAAGAAGGGAAAAGAAGTTCTTATTGAAAAAAAAAAAAAAAAAAAAAAAAAAAGAGTGCAGCAACATTTCCCTACCTGGGATTTAAAAATCTCCGTGTTAACTTCCTTTGAAGTAACCTGAGCATTTTATTTAAATTGCAATTAGATTGACTAATTTCGATCGCAAGTGACAAGTCGTTACGAATTTTAATGACAGGTGACGAGGGACTTGCAAGGCAACGTAACTTTGTTGATTGCCACTGTACATTTTATGTGACACGAATGTGAGAAATTCAATTTTGCTTTTGAGGGGCTGGGCTCGCGGTAAACCAAATATTCATAATTATTATTTCGTATAACTCTACCTTTTATTAGGTACGGTTTACAAAGATATCTACTTTTCAAGGGTTTTGTTAAAAGTGAAGCGCGAATGAACGATTTTCCAGAAGACAACCTGAATCGTTTTTGGCCGCACATTTATCTCAGTACAGCACTGCTGCTGTAAGTTTCCCTCAAAACTATTAATGAATAAAGAAATGAAATAAATTAAAAACAGAAAACAAAAAAAAGAGTCAGTAAGTTATTTCTCAGAGTTCATCCAAGCATATATTCTTCTTGTGGTAGTATACTGGGAATGTCACACCAAGTTCCCTCCGAAAGAAGAGTGTTGTGTGACATTAAAACCGAAGGAAACGAAGGAGACCAGTTTTGGAGGACTTTGGAATGATTGAGATTTACTCCATTCTTTTCAGATGATCTTGAGCTGGCGATTTATTGATAATGGTGAACTTTCCCTCAAAACAACGTTTGCCCAACGTGGCACAATCCCAATCCGCACCCTTGGGAATTCCCGCGCAGTTCCTAAAAAGAAGCGTTACGCCCGGCAAACATTTTGTCAAGGAGAGGTTTTGCATTCCAGTAATATGCGAGCTTGAGCCGTTTTTAAGTCAAAAGCGAGGTAGGCGATTACCAAAGGCTCGAGACTCGAGACCGAAATTCAGTTCTGCTGAAATGCAACGATCACGAGAAGGTGTTTGGATTGTATGTGGACTCAATCGGTAAATCCGATGTTCGAATGTGAAATACAACAATGGTACAACAATGTTTACTGTAACCAGGTAATTTACCTTCTCTAGGATAGAGGCAGTTCGCCGCCTCGCCTTAAAACCCCTAATCCTCTTAAACATCTCGCAATTGGCAGATCTCCTTTGTCTGTCATCTTGTAGTCTGGAAGCTTGGGAGATGCGAAATTGATTCGTTCTCAAAAGATTCTCAGAGAATAATTTCATCTTAGATCATACCTTCTTTCCTGTTCTCGCTCTTGAGAAGACAACTGATTTTCCTCTCAAGATTGACTTCCCTCGAATCAATTCGACGCTACCCCACCCCCGCTCAAACATTTTAATCATCATATGCGCATCCTGTTTCCGGTTACAACAACATAGCCTTTGTACTCTGTCGAGTTACTGTATCCGACATGTTGAACAACCATTCTGTTTACAGCTAAGGCATTATGAATTGAAAATTACATCTTTATTACCAGAAGAAACATATGTGAAACTCCCGGAGTCCTCGCTTGATTATAACGATCTGTTTTTCGTACAATCGTTTTGAAATTTGCAACGACAGTTTACCACGTTTCTCCACGATGGCAAAGCCGGTTGTGGTGATGAAAATCGTGCATGCAGTCGTCTTTGGTCTTGTTCTTCAGAGTTGCAGTACAGAAGGTATGATATTGCAGTTGAAAAACACGATTTACCACGAATTTAGGAGATGCTTGACTTAGCGTGGCTAGACATATTTCATGTGTTGTGCTTTTAACGATCGTAAAAAATATTTTCATTGATTAGCGGAAAGAGCAGATCGATCTTATTGATGTGATGCCGTAGTGTTTGAACACTTGGGCTTAAACCCTGGAAACATGTTTGCTCCCAATGACTGTAACTAACAACGAGTTAGTAAAAAGAACTTGTCGGCTTTCCTTCGACCTGAGCCATTTCTTTGATATCGCAATGTTTATTAATATGTAAACATGACAAGTTAATGCAGTACAACCAGTGAGTGACTGGTCTCAGAAAATGTCGTGAAAGATTTTGGATTAATCGAGTGTTTCATGTACCGACATAATGAGCGGTCTGAAAGTCGATAAATAGCGGTCTGAAAGAACAGATTTGTCGTCCGATTTTCAAACCTTATTTTTTTCTGTTCGTTTATGATTAGTGCGTGACCCCGAACGGCTCAAGTTTCACTCAAGGTGCGTTCCTTTGAGAGAATCCGGATCAGGATTTCTGATCTGTGGGGTTCCTTTCGAGCAAATCCATTTTCAGATCAGTGATTTATCAAATCCACTCTGGACAAGGATTTATTGGATCATTGATCTGCGCGATCTGAAGACGGATCATTGATCCAACGCGTTCCTTTGGGCGAAGGATCCGAAATTAATCATTTTGCCCAGCGGTGCTCAATTTCAAACAAGTGGGTACTTCATATATTGACCGGAAAGGTTATTGGTAATCGCTCCACAAATTTTGCGATAAACACGAAATGCACTCGATATTGTAATGTTAAATCGATCGGCCACTGATCGCAGGCATTCTGGGTTCCCAAGTATCCATATTACATCTGTAAGTCAACGGTAGGTCTCCATGAGGCAGACCTGGGAAGCAGGCGTCCCAAACAGCTGACTGTAGTTCTTGACATCCGAAAATGACTTCAAGAATCTGAAACACTGAAGAGTGGTTTAATACTTTCAAAATAATTGTTTTCATTTTTAAATTTAGCGCGCGATTCCGCTGACGCACTCTACAATTTCGCGCCTGCTGTCATGGTAACTGATCTGATGAACTAAAGCTCCGTTCCTCTGATGCACCGTGATCTGTGTGATCTTGGATCACAAATCCTAATCCGGATTCTCCCAAAAGATCGCACGCTCAGATTCCTTTCCAGTACTCCATAGTACTTCTTTTTAGTTTATTCGAACCTCCAGCAACCGCTGGGCCACAGCCCGCTCATCAATAAGGCTCTAACTAGTGAGAGGATTAAGGTCAATCTGGACCAATTTTGCTTCCCTTGTTCACTGTATAACAAACCTGGACAAACCTTACTCAATGGACGTTGGTTACGATAAGTCACTTTGTTTGTAATCACATGGATATTAGAATCCTTCTCCCAAACCAATAGAAGATTATGGCACAGTTATCCCCATTTCAAATGGAAAATTCCCAGTTTTTAAGGCACGTATTTTTCATCATTGCATGCAAAAGAACAACTCGTATTCCTTTAATGCATAAAAACAGACAATGTTTAAAATTTTTGCAATATTTTTCAGCTGAACTTCACAAGCAAGCCACTGTTGACTGTGATTTCGACCAAATGTTAGTTCACATAGAAAAATCCCTGATACCAGAGTTTAAAATGAGTGACGTGCGCTTATTAGATCCTAACTGTCAGCCAACAAAATTCGAGAACAGCAGTCACATGACCATTTCTGCACCGTTGATTGGCTGTGGTACCACGTTAGAGCATACGAAAGACAGTCTAATTTACAGAAATATGGTCAAGGATGCTCGGGTGACTCAGTCTATTATCAGCCGATTACAGGTTTGTTTTTTTTCGTTTGTTTTTAAGTTCAGATAGTTTGACTCTTCAACTCCCAGAAGTGATTAACAGGTAAATTCTTCCTATAGTACCCATATATCCGCTATGAAGCAAACAGGTAATTAGAGTACTCAAACATGTTAGGTAGAAGATGTTATCTTGATCTAATACCAAAGTATTGTAAATGATTTACAGGGAAATTTGTAGCAGCTAGAGGGGAGAATTGACGATCAGTTGTTGGGAGTTTAAAGGTTGAGTGTTTATCGGGTACAATTTTTGAGGGGACACCTCGCGGTAAATTTCGTTTGATATTCGTTACTAAAAAACTACTTATGAGTGTTACTAAGATATTATGTGCATGTAATGCTGATAACTGTTGTATTATCTCTAGTAGAACTACATTTCACAAAAAATACTACTTTTCACGATCTTATCTTGTACTTGGTTAATTCGTTTCCATTTCCTTATTATCTTTTTTCTCAGGACTTAGAGATTCCATTTGAGTGTACTTATCCAAACCAGGCTGAAGCCTCACTGATTCAGATGAACATCACAAACGCCAAAGTCATTTTCCTGGCACCTGACGATGGTTCTGGAATGTTTGATCTGGATCTGAATATTTATAAGGTACGGATGAAAGGACAAGGAGATTATGTGGTGCGAAGGGATGCACTGATATATCAGAGTGCATGAGCATTCACTGTCAACTTGTATTCGCAGTGATAATGTGCCTAAAAAACATTACGCGCTTCTGATTGGCTGAAAACGAGTGCATTCTCATGTAATACGAGTGCAAAGTTGTAACGTGAGTTCAAGTTACAAATAGCGTCTTTACTTTTTGTGCGATGTTTTTCATGTACATTATTAACAAGACATTGCTTGCAATTTGGTGCCCTACGGGCTCGTGAAATTTTGTTGTCTTTGAAAAATTTACTCGTCTTATTTAAACCAAACTGGACTCGAAATCATGTTATTATCTAATTACCTATACACAGTACATTAGCTACTACAACGCGAAGCTAATATCAATGCGACTAAATTATGTTGTTGTGTGTGGAGTATTCCAAGGATCGCCCCTCGTTGACAGTCAATGTTCCATACTCTCTCCTTTATACTTTGTTAGCGACGACTGCTCCTCCTTCGTTACCCCTAAATACCGTGTGATCCCCCAAAAATCATCCGACTCCCTTCCATGCGATAATTTAAGACTAGCCCCTGTTCCTCCATCATTGTAGTGTACTCTCTTCACTCTACCTTTGATTTCATCCAATCCTTAGTAACACCTCTGATGATAGCGTTTTTACGTGCTTTGTTTCACAATGCAGAGCGTAGACTATGATGAAGAGTACAGTAGTTTTCCACTGGCGGTTACACTGCAACAGCGACTTTACTTACAAGTATCAGTAGACACGCCTGACACGCGGTTGGGTATCGTCGCAGACACGTGCTACGCCACGCCTATAAACAGTATTTCTAAGAAAATCAAGTATGACATCATCGTTGACGGGTAAGTATCAATGATTGTTGCTGCCCATCAATCGACTATTGGTTCATACGTCAGCGTGCGTTCATCGAGATATGAGGCACGCGGGAAGTTTGGAGAGCACGAAAGATGCGTAAGAGTTGCTCGAGGCGTAGCCGAGAGCAAGTCTAGCTTCTTGGGTACTCTCTAAACTTCCCGCGTGCTTTATATCTCGGTAAACGCACAGCTGACGTATGAACCAACTGTTTTTTAACATTTTCAACCCGATGGTTTAAATGTTGTAAAAGGGTTAATATTCCCTCTGCTACGCTTGAGCGCGTTGATAATTTTGTTTCAGGAAAACATTTCGCTACGCTGTAAACGATCTTGTCTTAGATTGGTCAAAAAACTGACTGGTGAATTCATGCGTGTAAATGAACTTTATTTTCTGATTGAATACAAAATTCTCTTATCCAAAAGAAAAACAAAGATACTATTTCATTGGCTGACGTCATGAGCGTGCACAATAGGAATATAAAGCACGCTCACGCAATTGAATTTGATTAGACAAATTTACTAGCTATGTTATAAACCAATTTGAATGATAGATCCCTGAACAATTAAGTATGTAAGAATTCCAAAGGGTCAATTATGTGGGCTTTGGTTGATTACCAAACCTCCCTCTTCTCTCTGGGCAAGCGGACTCAGTTGTGCTGAAGTGGGGGTGAGGGGCAAAAAGCTGTTATATCTGAGGCTATCAATGGAGTGTTTCTTGAATTTATCATTCCTGTGTGCCGTTAGAGTAGATTTCAATTGAGTGCTGACAATAATTGGTTTCGCTTTATTTCGCATTGTGATTGGTCCAGAAACCATGCGCCACTGTGTCAACCAATCAGATGCAAAACTAAAACTGATCACGACTTGGTCGCCCATATTTTCCCGTGCTTTAGGCAGTTTGTTTGGTTTTACTTTGAGTTCTCATTGGCTCTTTAAGTTATTTTCCTTTGTTCTGATTGGTTGTTGTGATTTTTTTGGTGTAGATTTTACAACACTCTGTCGAGAAGCGCTCTATTGCGACTTTCGGCTCTGATACACTATTTTTTACAATTAAGGTGTCCAAAAGACGAGACCGTGAGATTTCACAGCGGCCCTCCCACCACGCAACGTTTTAGCATAGAAGCTTTTAAGTTCATGAATGGCCAGGTCGTGCCGTACGTTTACATTCACTGTGAAGTCGTCCTATGTAACCTGACAGATGGCAAGCCCAGCTGCATGCAGAAATGTGACCCTCATGTGAATACTAGACTGAGGAGGGAGGTCAATACAGATTATTACGACCTGGAGAAAGGGCCAATAATAATTCTAAGGGATCCTGAGGATAATTTTGAACCAGAGAATGCGGAAGAATTTCGAGAAAATCAAGGTATGAGTGACGCTAGTGAGAAAGAAAGTGAAAGGTGAACCTGGCGGGGGTTTTGGTCCAGGCATACCTAGAGAAAAGTTGGTAGGAATTTCCTAAATTAAAAAAGGCAAGACGGACTCTAGTGAGAAAGAAGGTGAAAGATTAATTCAGCTTAAGGCCTTATGGTCCTTTAGGTGAGGTACTGTCCAGCTTTGCGAGAGTAAAGCTACTTGGAATGTCTTAATTATATATGGTGAAATTGGGTTCATGCTTGCTAATGGCGGCGGACAAGACGTCGTGATTACTTTAATTTACTTCAGACTAAAAGATTGGGCTAAAATGTTCGACCATATCAAAATTTTATCTTTGTCTTATTGAGAGATATGTTTCTTCCGTCTTTTCACGAGCGTGGGATAAGGAAAAAAATTCTGAGTCCCCATGAGGTCTCCTAATGTCTGAGGTTTGTTTCCTCATGGGGACTCAGAATTTTTTCTTGTCCCACGATCGTGACAAGACGATTAAACACATCTTTCTCGATTTCTTTTCCGAGTTCAAAACTTACCATCTTTCTTATTCTATTTACAAAATATATCGTTATTGTTTTCCAGATCATGGATCGAAAAACATGACCAAATGGTTGTTCGTTGTCATGGGATGCGTCTGTGCAATGTGCTTTGGAGCTGTACTCCACACCATGAAAGAAGTCAAACAGGCGAAGTAATTAAAAGTTAAAAATTTTAAAAGCGTTTACCTTAAATTACTCAATAATGAATGGAGAACATGTTAAAGAAGAAGAGCACTGAATAAATATACTTTTTAACATATGATGGGCCGTTGGAGAAGCAATTTCAGTTAACATTTGATCGATATAAATGATACACGAACTTCTGCCCGGATTGTTTCAGCTGGATGTGGAGATATGCTTTTTTCCTGTCAAGTTTACATACAAAAATATATATTCTCATGCTGTAGCGAGAGCGTTTAGAAAACTCAGGCCAAGTAGTGTAACATGTACTGAAAACGATCACTTTTCTCAAACGTCTGACGCCAGATGATTACGTGATCTCTGGCTCAACGCGGGCTAAGGTCACTTTCCCCAGAGCTAAGGCAAAACATTTACTTCAACTTTGATCGCACTTTAGTTTAACGTGATATTGCTGAAAACGATTCAAAACAGAGGGTGAACGGAAAACGTGTTAGTCTCGACGAAGTCTAATATAGTACTGAACTAGTCAATCGTGTATCGCTTCTTGTTACCTCATGCGAGTGAAAAATTTTCCCTAGGGAGACCAAATAGGATTTTTCAACCATATTGTTTTATCTCTAAACAGGTAAATACCTATTTATAAACCATGCTATCTTTCGAGTGTACCTCAATTTTGGTATACAATTACTTACAAAAATTGGCACTCCAATATGATGATAAAAATGGCTTTATATTTAAAATAAATAAAGATAGGGTGCAAGTCAATTGAGCTTAGACGATGTTGAAAAATTGGTGAGTCATGTGCTAATTTTTCCTAATTTTTGGAATTTTCGACAATTTTAACCCCCACTTAAACTGAGGCCAACCGGCTCCATGGGTTGTGATTTCTAAAAATCTACGCCGGCAAATTAAAACATATCAATAACACATCAATGATCATTTAATAAAACAAAAGGCTGTAGGTATTTAAAACTTGATTAATCCTACAACTGAAATACTACCTACATCGCTTCTGATAACCGTGATCATAAAAGAATTTGAGAGTGGGCTTGCGTAGAAAAAAGAGAGAGCTTTTTTCTTTTAAAATTCATTAATGATTTTTTGACGTGACTCTCAAGTCTTCTATAGGCGATAATCGTTTTACCTACACTTCATTCGAAATTGAGATGCCATATCACGATAACATTTACAAAAATAACATGGTTTACCGATATCTAAGATCCTGTCGCTGCGTATGTCGATACCCTAAACTAATTGTTTCACTTAGGCAGGATCCTGGCTCCTTGTTCTAAATGCAATTGGCTTTTGTTGACTTTTTCAGATTCACCTGCATGGCAGCCAGTTATAATACACCTATACTGACAACTATGCAATTTTCTAAGCCCTGGAACTCTCGAATTGAGACTTCGCATTAAAGGATATTCTTATGAAGAATAACTTTGCATCACTGTCTATTGTATCAAATTAAGCTTGGTATAGTATAATGGTGTTAAATTTTCTTTGAGAAATTAAGTAAAACAATAACAATTACCATAAACATCAGCCGATATTCTGAAGTAATAAAAATGATCTCAACACCGAGGTGATTTAACTTGCCGTTTACTTCACGAAAGTAATGGCACTTTAAACATGAAAAAATATTAACTAGGCTGGAGCCATTCCTGTTCTAAAATCTGCCATGCGTTATGAATTAACCACTAAAAAAAATGGTAAGTTCCAGCAAAGATAGGAGAAGTCGTTCTGAATTCACGACAGGAAAACAAAAGTTTAGACAGCAGCGATTCCAAGTTTGTCTTTAGAGCAAATCGGCCCAAACGGGGAAGTTACATTTTACAAGCTTATCGTATAATTCTCCCACACTGCGTATGAAGTCTTTATCTCGAGCATAAGCCAACACAGCGTCACAAGGATTTATTAATCGGTTGTCAAGGAAACGGATCTCTGTCGGACTCAAACCCAGTCGCTCCGCCAATAATTTCCATTCATCTCCACCTGAAATTCCAAGTAAAATTTTAGAGTATTGGAATTGTTACGAAACTACTCCATACTGAATGCACAAGCCAATATCTTAAATACATTGTTGTGAATTGGTGTGTAGGACCCAGCACATCAAATAATTTGAACAGTGATACTAACCACACATTTATGTTGCACGAGAGCAAGAAATAGACGCACCTTCGGTTTAAAAGCATTGTTTTGCATATGCTCATTTTGGATCAATTAGGAAATGGGTGCCGCAAATAATCTGGAATCGCTAAACAAAAGCATTTCTTCTTTCTACGACGAATCTAAAGAACTCCCGCCATCAAGTGGACCAATCAGATGTAAACTGAGAAAATATTAAACGCGACTTGTTCATTTGCGTCAGCCCGCGAAATATTTATTCGTCTTGACTTTGAATTCACATTCGCCCCATGCAGCATTTCCCTCTTTCCTAACTTATTCTTGTGATTCCTTTGGTTTTGATCTGACAATGAATTGAAATGCGAATTGCGGCACCGTTGTTGAAAGACTTTCCTAATTTTATCCCAATGAAGTCACTATAATAGTATGCTCACCACTCAAGGCAATTGTCAAATTAAATCTTTGAATATTGGGAATATTTGCAACGTCGCAAATATCAGGCAACAAAGGACCTAAGAAGTAAAAGGAAATCATTGTCATTCTTAAAGACAAAACAAGTTATGCATCATTCACCTCCGTATTAATTGAGGTTACTGTAAAGAATTAATCAAGTGGAGTAACAGAAATTAAACAGCAGTCTTCACGGGATGCTTACTACTCGGCTGTTTACAAGTCTCAAGTAGACGACTTGGACTCGAAATAACCGACTCCAAAACGTCAAGCTGAGATCAGCATTGCCTTCTAACGCTTGATATGTATGTAGAGACATTTCAGAAAATGGTACATTTTAAGCTTGGTCATCGAATGGAAGAAAGTGTAGTATCTCTATTTCATATCAAAATACGGTTAATTAATTAATCTGATAAAGTTCTTAATCATAACAATTACAATTTCCTCGATTGTGATTGGTTTAAAAAACTCCATATTTTCCACTAATTCACTTGCCAGGTTGTTATCGGACAGTTTGTAATCGGAAAGTTCAATAAGCCAATCACATTCCAAGTTGTAGTTTAAATCAACCAATCACATTCAAAGTTGAAGTTTCAATCAACCAATCACAACCTTAAATAATCTACGCCTCCTTTGTCAGTCTATTAACGCAAATGTTCCTTTTCTTTTACAACTTGGCTATTCTTCTTTTCTCTGAAATTGTAATTTTTATGATCAATCGGAAACAAGACTTCGTGTCGTCCAATTCAGTCTGTAATCATACGATTTTGTTATCACTCGTATGATTACAGACCGAATTGGACTCCACTCGGCCCTATTACCGTTACTAAAAAGAAAGGAGTACGAACTACTCCAATTGTCTGTTTTCTGTAGATCTCCCAAACACTTTACCTGTTGTACCAGCAGGTACTTTCTCTCGTAATCGTTTTACAACATCAAGTCTATCTGTAGATTTGGCTTTCAAACAAATGCAGCGAATTTGACGCTTTGTCTCTGGATCTGGCTGTTCTAAATATGCTAGGTCCAATGATAAACTTTTGTGAAATAGAGCAACAACATCGTCTGCATTGCTTGTCCTCAACTGAAGGGCTTGAACCAGCCCATCGGAGAGGACAAGGGCTTGTTCGCCTTCCCCTAAAATATCGATGAAGTAAAACCTTAGCTCAATACCTTCAAATATTTTCACGGTTCAGTTCATCTTACACGCTTGGTTTGAAATATAAACAACAAGGGTTTGACAAAGATATTCATCAATAGAAGAATAATCATCTTATTCATATTATGATGCGCAACATTAGTGGGTTCGAAAATAAAGTCCAACAAAAACAGGCTTCAACGGGATTAACACCCAAAACTGTGTAGTTGTTATTACGATACCTACACTTCAAGTTTCAATTTTTCCTCTTCCAATTTTCCTTACAAACTGTAGACCATGCCCCTGTATTGCGTTTAAACAAGGAAATGCACTCCGACTTTAATTACATCTCAAACCCGGTTTAACACGACTTTGACGTTCGATATAATTTACCTGATGAAATGACACAGACGAAATATGCATAACAATGACAAAGCGGAACCAAGGGACCGTAAGAAACACTCTCTCGTTCGTGTGGCACAAATTTATGGCTAATGCATCGTTTGGAGAACCGCTCAGTAACTACAAAGTCTACATGCAGAAACTAACCTTCCGTATAAGGTAAAGCTGATTCCTGGTTGCCCTCGCCAGTGACTCTCTGTTGATTTCATAATTATTATGTCAATAATTCGTCTCTGTGTAAGTTGTTGTTGTACTGTTTTCTTGCATTCTATCGTTGATAGTACACGCAGTTTCGTTTTTTAAGTTTAGCGGTATCCTTTACTACTTTCCTTCCCACGAAGGGATCGCTATAATAGTGAAATGACATTTTTACAAGTAAAACTTTGAAAGTCACAAATATTGAGATTTAGAGAAAGTAGATATTTTCTCTAAAGAAGTTTGCCTTAAAGTATGGCCTTCCTGGTACATTCGATACAATGAATGAACAATAGCCTGCATTTGGCGCGAAAATTTGCACGTTATTTGTCGTTGGACAAATGGAGGCTATTGTGTTTATTATCCTGCACGTACGAAGAACATGTTAATGAATAGCTCACCGTTTACTGCGTGTGACATACATTCACTTTTCAGTGTTCTCTGGTACGTGGATGTGGATGAATTGCAAAACAACATCCATTTCTTCTGTAACAACCAAAAAACCCTCTCTCATCTATAATTAAATTTTAACGAAGACTTTTCGTAGTAGACGTAAGGTTTGAAAATTGGGTTATATCGTCGGGTATCCCCTGTTTTAACAAGGGAATAACCGGTCACACGATGTGTTTAGACCAATCGCGCTTAGGCAACAATTATTTATGGATGATAGGCATTGGTATGGAAATAAGTAACCCTTAATGAACACTGACAAAACCTTAACTTACCGTTTTATGTAAAAATGGAAACCATGATGCGAAGGGCTCAAGTGCAACCCTGTATTCTCCAGCATCAACACGCCTGGTGCATACAACAGGCCTTTGACAATCAAGCAACTGTGATTCTGACCAGAAGTGCAGACATTCTTCCTCCTTGCAGTCACTTACACAATGAGTGTCACAATATTTCACTGTCATTCTTGTGCAACAAATTGGACAGCAAACTGACATTTCGTAAGCCATGTTCTTTAACCAATGAAACTCCCTCCGCATGCATTCGAGAATCAGTCCCAGTTGTCGGCACACAATACGAGCAAACTCTACTTGGGGAGTGTCTTGGCTAAGTACAGATGGTAGATTCATCCTTTCATTCTCGGAAGCCCCTGCCTTGTACTTCCCATGATGAACGATAACTTCAATGAAAGAGGAACGGCAGAGAAGGATCAGAGAGATGCCTTTAGCTGGGTGTGTGTAAAACCTGACGAAATTGTGATACAGTCCTGACCATCAGGACTAGGCGAGGAAACAGTCCAATTGGTAACTGACCAGATTTAAACTTCACAAAAAGGGATGGAATACCCGCAGATGAAAACAAATCGGTGACATTCTTCGGGGGGGACATCAACATGGAAGGTACGAGATACTCACTGGGTGACCCACTCTCGTCAGACGACGGCCAAGGGCATAACAAGCCAAATTTCTCCATCATGTTGATAAGACTGTCAACGTCAAAATTTTCTCGGGTGTCAAAAAGGGGATCCCATAAGTCTTTTAAGAGTCTTTTTTCCAAGATTCCCTTTTCCTCAAGCTTTTTCCACTGTTCTCTATGTTCTCTTTTACTCTTCTTGAAGGGCGGAATGGTAATCACCTTCTTGAAGACGTCTACCAACCACTGTGGATCCAAAATAACGATTTTGTCTAACTCCGGGGTGTCGTCAAAATGAATCAAAATTCTCTGGTCGTGTAGGAGGTTCAACATAGTTAGAAACTGCTCTTCGGTGGAAATTCCGCATACCTCAAGTGCAATTCTTTTCGCATCTTCGACGTAAATCCATTTGCTTCCGTGCTCAACCGTCTCTCTTACAGCCTTTTCAAATCTCAGCCATTTGATTGGAATGACCTCTTTAAGTTGAGGCAGCCTCTTAGCGGTGTCAAGTACCTCTTTCCTCAAACAAATAACCCCTTCACATTCTTTATTACTCCCAGACTTAGTGTTGTCTACGACAAAGAAGTCGAGAATTTGTTTACCATAACTTTTTCTCTGCAAATTGCCAAAAATCTCACTTGCAAGCTCTTCAGGATCTGCACCTTTGTACGGCTTGTCAGCATGGGTAAAGACCAGAATAACTGGGGGCTGCAGCAGCTCTGGTTGCATGGAAGTTGAAGGGGTTTCGTGAGGCTTCTCACTGTTTGGAGCCAAACTAGAAACCGAGGACATCCAAAAGTCGAGATAATCCAAATTACTTTTCTCACAATGAACGTCTTTGATAGACTTGAATAATCCTCGCTTCACTCGGGATATAGACTTCTCCTCTGGATTTCGGTTAAGATTATAAACCAAAAGGTAAATTGCTCCTCTTGTTAGAAAAAGTGGGTGGGTAGAATAATAAACTGACTGCCCGCCAAAATCCCACAAAGTTGAAAAGATTTCGTCTTTGTCTTCGTCAACGCGCACAACTTGAAGTAGCTTCGTAACTAAAGATGCTATTTCTTCTGGCACGGCTTTAACCTTTGCTGCACCGGATGACACGCCATTATGATTTAGGGAAGATGGACCTCCATTCTTCTCAGATACATTGTCGTAACGAGATGGGCTAGGCTTGAGTTTTTTTCTTCGTTCGTTTTTCTCGAGGCTGTTAACAATATATTGAGCCGTGTGTTTTTCGAAAGAGATTGGCTCCATGCTTGAATCTCTTTCGTGGGTTGCCTCTCCCATTTTCCAAACTTCCGTTGATACTTTACAATAAGAAGGATCTGTTTCGATGCCTATAGTACTGCTTTCTTCTGGATTGAATTCCTCTCCTATAAGTGATCTCTTTAAACTTGTTTTTCCTGACTGACCTTGCCCAATGAACATGATTGGCACTCTTTTCACACTAGTTTTTCCTTCTTCGATGGCTCGATGGTAAGCTTCGAGGGCCTTAGGGCCTCGAGCAACGATTTCCACAGGAACTGCAACAAAATAGTAAAACGATTAGATAACAAATAAACAACAAATAGAACAAAAAAGGAAATTTACAATCTACAGACCTATTCTAAGTGTAAGATTATTTGTTATGGATCGAGGCTAGAAACTGTCATTTCTAGTTAGAATGGAGTGTAAGTCGGCGGGTGTCATGGGATCACCTCAAATGAGGATCTACCTCGCCATTTTACAGTTATTCCTTGGTTGCTTTTTAAGACTGCAATTTTATTTAAGACTTCCATCGTGCTACCATAGTTGTACAGTTGTAGGTTGCTTGTTTCATTTTCTTATTCAAATTCTTCTATTATTTTCCAAAGAACACTGTCAGTAACAGAAAAAGTATCCCCGGGTGAAAGCCTTACATAAACTAGAACGGCAAACGATGTTGAAATATTCAGAAATTTGTGAGTAAGTATTTCTTGACAAAAAGATAACCACACAATTAATTTTCGAGGAAAGATACAAAACTCACCTGATTCATGTTCGTTATCGTCTTCTCCTCCAATTTGAAGAGCCTGTCGATCATCATAATGAAAGCGTTAATACTTTTAATCGTTTCCTGTTCCATCTTCATGTTTAGGTTTAAATATTGAAAAGTGTCGTCTGGAGGCCCTAAAATGCTACTCTCCCTTTGACTGTGCTCTAAAGTATTTGCTGTTAACAAGTATATTAAGCCATAGTCGAAGTGAAAAATCAAAATCAGGAAGGAGGGGCAGAAAGTCACCTTACCTCTTTAAAAATATCAAGGTCAGGATAACTTTTAGACCGCCGCCGAAACGGAACTGGAGGATCTAGAGGTTTCTCCGTCAGCATAGATATTTGGACTGGAGGCGCTGCGTAGACTACATCAGCAGTACGAAAATTCATAGGAAGATTAAACTGAAGACGCTCCGGAGGAGCACTGCGTTGGGCTGAAAACAATCAGGAAAAAGTTTACCCCATGAACACGTGTTGGATATGAGATGGTAAATGCCGATTATATCCTAGGATAAGTGGCAACGCTCTAATAAACGCCCTCCCCCGAATAAGCGCCCACCCACTAGGCCATGATGTCGAACAAGTGCCCCTCTTGAAAAAGCGCCCTCCCCCGTCCTCCCCACTAGGCCATGATGTCGAATAAGTGCCCCCCTTGAAAAAGTGCCCTCCCTCCGTCTTCACTTTCACCGCCTAATGGATCAAGAGGAATGCAATGATCTGCATATCGTTGACGAGAATGATGAGATAATCGATATTTTAAGAACATGCCGATACATCTGTGTGTAAAGTGTTGAATAAGACTACGGTGCGCTTGACTACCAACCACTGTTTTAACAAACGAAAGACATTTTTGTGGACTCTACGTCTTCGTGGCAGTTTTTTTTTCTTTCAAAAGGTTACCAAGCCTTAAGTTACATTTCGCTGAAATGAAAACTTATTAAGCGCTCTCTCTATTCAGCCACCCTCTTTACCCCTCCTCTTAGCCGAAATTTTGAATAAGCGCCAGGCGCCTATTGAGTGGTAAAGTGTGATGTCACGGTTCCATGGTAACCATTTTCTTGGTTCTAAACAATTCAAGATCGAGCCAATAACAAGAAGAGATTGACCCACATCGACGCAACGCGCTATTATGTTTAGTCACATTCAGTGCTACTAATTTACTCTAAACATTCGCCTATAGTTTTTAAACGTTTACTTCTTTGATTTACAACGGATTTCTAGACTGTGTTGAAACGTTTTTTTTTTTGGCGATTATCGTCGCATTCATGTACGATCTTATCGGCCACGGTGAAGTGTTTCGTCCCTGACTGCAATCATCAATCGGAAAGTCGTACCTGTCAGTATTTACGTTTTCCAAAGGATGAAAAACAACATAAACGCTGGAAGGACCTCATCAGGTAAGTTTTTCACGGTATCTTTTAGATGAGTTTGTTTTACTTGACAGGGATTACGCTTATGGTCGCAGCCGATTTACAATTACCGAACTTGCCTTTCAGGAGGGGAGATCGTGTGTTTTTTTTATCGTGGGCATCCACGCTTCTGGGATTTCTATTACACTATCCCTGTTGATGTTTTTATCTAACCTTATGTCAAAGGTCTGTCCGAACAGCTTCGCCGCTGCCTACAACAACAAGGCGTACGCGCTGTTTTCAAGTCGGAGACTACGCTAAGATCTCAGTTAGTACGACCAAAAGACGCTGTCGACCCGGCTAAACAAGATGGCGTAGTTTACAGGATTCCCTGTGAATGCGGCAAGGTGTACATCGGAGAGACTGGAAGACCTATGCAAGACAGAATTAAGGAGCACGATCGAGACATTCGACTCGCCCGTACCGAGATCTCTGCCGTTTCAAAGCATGCCCACAACACCGGACACAAGCCACTCTGGAACAAAGTAAAGTTTATTGATCGTGACCCTTATACTACAAGCGCATGGTCAAAGAGGCAATTCATATAATACTTCACCTTAACAACATCAACAGGGATAGTGGAATAGAAATTCGAGAAGCGTGGATGCCCACGATCAAAAAACACATCAACAGGAGAGCCGTGCGACAGCGGACCGCCGAGGGAGCAAATCACTGAGTGAACAGCAAGGATCAAATGCACCAATCAGAGCTGTTGAGAAAACAACTGATCACGGCAGAGCATCATGCCTTATCGACCTCATCGCCTGAAGAAGGCTAGCAGTAAGCAGTCGAAAAGTCGCGATCTACATCACACATGACTACATCGTGAGACAACGAAAAACTTAGCTTTTATTGTTAATCTATTTCATAGCTAATAAGTGCGAAATGAATAATTAATCAATTGAACTTTGTATTTTTTCGATACTGCAGTGGGTGCTTACTAAATTTGTCTTTGAGACTCAGGAATTTTTTTCAAATTTAAGCAACTGGAAGTCAAAGTTACTTTCGACCGCCCAAATCACATGACATAAGCAAAGCTTTACGACCGAACCTGATTGTCGTTTGAATATCCAGAACTCATTTTCGTGCTCCGAGCGTACGAGTTACGGATTACGACTGAGTTACAAACTTACTTAGACAAGTATTTAGTTAAATCTATTAATTAAGCTTCAAGCTTATCCTGAAGCGTTGTGTACTTAAACAAATATTTTCTGCGCAGTAGCGAACAGAAGAAACTATTATTATGGCTACTCGAACAGATTTCAAAGGAGAGCATTTCTATCTAAAGATCATTGCTGAACCTTGAAATTTCGTCGAAAATGTTCCAAGTCATCCTGGAATTCAGTAAGGTAACCGGCCGTTCTTTCTGTTGCGTGAGCGTTTTACTTTTCCTAGACCATAACACATGATAAAACGTCAATGTCGAGTACAATTTTAAAGTAGAACGTCAAAGACGTGTACGTATACGTAATATTGTGATATCGCAAGAGATGACATTGAGTGTGCAGCCCACTTCGTATCCGAACGCCCGATCCGAGCAACGAAAAATCCAAGCTCCAAATCACCTTTTCTTAAAATTCTTATGTACGTAGTAAACCTCGAAATGGATAAAACGCTAAAACGGGTTCCCTTCAACGTAGTAAGCGGTCAGATAACAAGCGATGCACTGTGGAAGTAAGGTGAGGTATTTTTATTGAGAATTTGACTTATTTTTTATTCCTTAGAGCGGTCGTAAATATTTCCATACAAACTTTTATAATTTCTTTATGACTGTTATTTCGCAAGATGATCATCTCACAGCTGGAGCTTGGGCCGCCTGTGTTCTGACAAGCCTTTCTCCGATTGCTGCCGTTACCTGCTTTCCTCACGCGACAAACTTTCTGAAAGAGCGAGTTGCGTGACTACTACTAAGAAAGTCTACGCAAGAGACTATGACCGGATATTAATTGAGCAAGCAATATCTTTTATTTCTCAGAGAAATATTATGTTCCTCAGTATTCTTTCCTCTTTTCGTTTCCGCAAGATGGGTTCGGATGAGCAATTGCAATTTGCAATTGTAATTTAGTATGTCAACAAAGCATGGCAACGGTCGTTCGTTTTAATGCGCGATCCAAAATTTCAAGCTTTATATCACACTACCAAACATTAGATTATGAGTCTCTAACGAATGGCCCCTACGTATGAACGTTTTGAAAATCATTTGAAACAGTTCGTTTCGTTTGGATTGATTTTGCTTCGCAAAGGACAGTAAGCCGTGGAATTTGGCCTTGAATTAAACCCACTTGAGCGTAAAGTTATAAAGTTTTGGTTCTTGCCTGTCTCACTATCACTCACGCTCCCTTAGAATCTGAACGAACCAGACGTTTATAAACCACGTGGCACACTTGATCAAAAGCCTTGGTTGTACGGCAGACGGAAAAGGATTCATAACAACTTCGATCGATGCGATTCAAGACTTATAATAATTTGTATGCCTATATCCAACGTTACTTTCAGTTAATTGGTCGTGACAGAGGAGAACTTTCAAAGGAACCTTAGACATTGATTCTTTAGCCGTTAAAAGTATTATCACTGGCCGTATTCTCTAAAGAGATAGCACACTTGATAGGCAGCGTAATACACAAGAAGGACTGAATATTGCAACGGGTTCTAACCCGCCACAGACATGTTTCATGACAGAACAATCCGTTATAATTACCTGGTTCATGATCACGCCTCCGTCTTTTCCCACGGAAAATATGTCTCAGTCTGTTCATCGAAGTTGCTTAAACTTTAGCTGCGTAAAACACGGACCAAATCAAAATTTTAAATTCCATTTTCAACTGAAATTCCATTTCGTGGAATGCAACAGAATTTTTTTTAACTTGAGCTTCTGAAAGTGTTTTATATAAAATTATCAAAGGTGCGAGTGTGGAACTTGTCAACCAATGCCGACAACTCATGAAAGTGTTTGTTGTACGGAAATCGGGCAATTGTGGCAAAATGGCCTGAAACCCAGATAAGTTGTATCACTGAGCATCCAGGTTTTCAGTCAATTTGCCTCGATTTCTGGGTGCTGGAGACGGCCAAGTACGCGCACAGGCAGCAGCAAAGCACAGATAATCACACCGGAAACGACTAAGCTAAATATTTTCTGTTTCATCTGTTTTGTTACATTTTGAGATCGATTTACTTGAGTTGTTTCTGCCATTGATTTAATAATACAGTACTAGAGCTAGCTGTTTTTCGCTTCTTTCCTGACAGGAAATTTCGCTAAATTGCCTACAGATAGTTTGTTCGTTGGTGTTGGGGATATCTCGGCAAACACTTTAGGGTCGCTGTGCTATCTTGTGCGGTAAACAATATCCTTCATCTCAGAAGCATTTCCATCGATAAACAAGTTGTATCATGTACATTTCCTTGTGTGGCCTTCATAATTATCCAACCCTGTTTGTGTTTGCTTCGATTTGAAATATTGAAAAGATAGTTTTGCAAGCTGAAATCAGGATCTTTTAAGTTGTACTCAAAATGATGAATATTGTCCTACTGACCTTTGAATGTATTTTCACTGCTGTGAAAACCGTGACACAAATTCTTCTGCTGTTTCTCTGCAGGGTTTCTCAAAGGAAGCACCAAGTGGGGCTGGCTTGGATTTTCTTATAGAACATAAGGGTTGATTATGGGATCCTGTATAGAATTCTTTGTATCGAACCGACAAAATTCCAGATCACGTTATTACACACTGATATCAACGAATTCTCTTTCTTTGATACGTGTTTCGAATTCAGGCAAAGGTTCAGACATGTCAGTGTCTTTTACGGCTCAGCGCTGGCTCCCGAACAACTGGCTCCCCATAATATTTCATTAGATGAGAAAAAGATGTTTTAGAGAACCAATAAAGCTATTGTTGTTTAATTAACGAAACGTTTTCATGTAAATCGATTTTGTACTTTCTCTGTTGACCTCTAACTTTTGAAGAGCTCAACTTCTTTCTCAGTTCGGTCGGCCACTTCCGAATCCTCGTCGTCTGCCGACTGTATGGGTCGTTTTATACTTCCGAATAATTTGCTTCTGGTGAGGCCTGAATCGTCGGTACAGCACCAGGAAGAAAAATGACTGCTACAAACAACAGAACGTTCGAACGGCTCTACGAAATTGGCTATTTTCACTTGAACAAATTTCACAAATTGTCGCTTCAAATTTGCGTCATTTGGAAATATTTGCATTGTATGCCCAGTTTTGTTTGAATCAGTACAAAACTGGACGACACAACGCTTCACCATTACGAAAAAATTGAATATATTGAAGCAAACTGTAAGTAAAAAAATCATGACGAGACCAGCAAACAACGGCTGTAGAAAAGACTCCTTCGTGCCTCACGCGATTATAAAACGAGACTTTGGAGGGTCCACCCGTGACGTCACAGGAAAGATGGCGCCATTCAAGATGGCGAATGTTTCTAATTTGGAAGAGCTTTTACAAAGTGAAAATGGACTTTTGAGAATAAACGAATGGTACCTTTGGTGTACTTGATATATTTACTAAACATCTATGTGAAAAGAAAATGAACGTTTTTTGGGTTTACATGCCCTTTAAGCAACTTGTTATGTTTTATGTTTTGTTGCGAAGTGACAAGTGTCAGCGTGAAGGTTATCGAGATACAACAACAGAAAGAAAAGAACAACTTTGAAGTGTATTTCATTTTTCATTTTTCGGGTAAATTTGCAATTCAGCATCCGAGTTCAAATGAATATTTTGCGTTAAAGGAAAAGATTATAAGCTATTTTTGGTATAGAGTTAGAGTAGGACAATCGCGCTTACGAAACTAGATTTCAATTTTAACCTAGCTATGAATGCACAAGTGTCATGTCACGCAACTTCTGTTTAGTACTTACCGCTCAAATGAATCGTCAGATTCTCTCTCTGTCTAATAGGAATATTGGCCACGTCACAAGCTTCAGGTAACAAAGGACCTAAGTAGTAAAGAGAAAATACTTCTTTGGAATAAAATGAGACGCCAATTAAATCAATCTCGCTTTTATTTAAATGTCACGGATAATTCTCTAAAGCGATACACAAATGGAGCAGAGGAAACATTAAGTTAGAGTGGAAAAAATATCGATCACTTAAAGGAATGCCAACCACTTGGCTGTTTACAAATCACCGTCGAATGACTTGTAATGAATCGTCTGGTTTTTCGACAATGTGATTCGATAGAATTATTCTCTCCAGCTGTCTGAATTCAGCAGAATTCAAACCATCATACCTGTTGTACCAGCAGGTGTTATCTGTCGTAACCGTTTTACAACATCAAGTCTATCTGTAGATTTGGCTTTTAAACAAATGCAGCGAATTTGGTGCTTTGTCTCTGGGTCTGGCTGTTCTAGAGATGCTAGGTCCAATGATAAACTTTCGTGAAATAGAGCGACAACACCGTCTGCTACGCATGTCCTCAACTGAAGGGCCTGAACCAGCCCATCGAAGAGGACAAGGGCTTGTTCGCCTTCCCCTAAAAATATCGATGAAGTAAAGGACTCAGTTCAATGATTTTCGCTGTTCAGTTTCATCTTAAGCGCTTGGTTTGAAATATAAATAACACGGGTTTAAAAAAGATATTCATCAATACAAGAATAATAAGCTCATACATATAATGTGCAACATAAGTGGGTGCGAAAATTAAGTCCAACAAAAACAGGCTTCAACGGGATTAACACCTAAAACTGTGTAACTGTTATTCCGCTTCATAAACTTAAAGTTTCAATTTTTCTTCTTCCAATTCACCTTACGAAATGGAAACATGCTCCTGTATTGCGTTTTAACAAGGAAATGCACTCCGACTTTAATTACATCTCAAACCCGGTTTAACACGACTTTAACGTTCGATAAAATTTACCTGATGAAATGACACAGACGAAATATGCATAACAATGACAAAGCGGAACCAAGGGACCGTAAGAAACACTCTCTCGTTCGTGTGGCACAAATTTATGGCTAATGCATCGTTTGGAGAACCGCTCAGTAACTACAAAGTCTACATGCAGAAACTAACCTTCCGTATATAAGGTAAAGCTGATTCCTGGTTGCCCTCGCCAGTGACTCCCTGTTGATTTCATAATTATTATGTCAATAACTCGTCTCTGTTTAAGTTATTGTTGTACTTTTTCTCGCATTCTATCGTTGATAATACACGCAGTTTGGTTTTTTAGGTTTAGCGGTATCCTTTACTACTTTCCTTCCCACGAAGGGATCGTTATAATAGTGAAATGACATTTTTACAAGTAAAACTTTGAAAGTCACAAATATTGAGATTTAGTTGAAAGTAGATATTTTCTCTAAAGACGTCTGCCTTAAAGTATGGCACTGAAATCACCTTCCTGGTACATTCGATACAATGAATAAACAGTAGCCTGCATCTGGCGCGAAAATTTGCACGTTCTTTGCCGTTGGACAAATGGAGGCTATTGTGTTTATTATCCTGCGCGTAGGAAAAACACGTTAATGAACAGCTCACCGTTTACTGCGTGAGACATATATTCACTTTTCAGTGTTCTCTGGTACGTGGATGTGGATGATTTACACAACAACATCCATTTCTTCTGTAACAACCAAAAAACCCTCTCTCATCTTTAATTAAATTTTAACGAAGACTTTTCCTAGTAGACGTGAGGTTTGAAAATTGGGTTATATCCTCGGGTATCCCCAGTTTTAACAAGGAAATAATCGGTCACGTCATGTGAATAGACCAATCGCGCTTAGGCAACAATTATTAATCGATGATAGGCAATGGTATGAAAATGAGTAACTCTTATTGAACACTGACAAAATTTTAACTTACCGTTTTATGCAAAAATGGAAACCATGATGCGAAGGGCTCAAGTGCAACCCTGTATTCTCCAGCATCTACACGCCTGGTGCATACAACAGGCATTTTACAATCATGCAACTGTGACTCTGACCAGAAGTGTAGACATTCTTCCTCCTTGCAGCCACTTACATAATGGGTGTCACAATATTTCACTGTCTTTCTTGTGCAACAAATTGGACAGCAAACTGACATTTCGTAAGCCATGTTCTTTAACCAATGAAACTCCCTCCGCATGCATTCGAGAATCAGTTCCAGTTGTCGGCACACAATACGAGCAAACTCTACTTGGTGAGTGTCTTGGCTAAGTACAGATGGTAGATTCATCTTTTCATTCTCGGAAGCCCCTGCCTTTCACTTCCCATGATGAACGACAACTTCAATGAAAGAGGAACGGCAGAGAAGGATCAGAGAGATGCCTTTAGCTGGGTGTGTGTAAAACCTGACGAAATTGTGATACAGTTTAGGGTGCTCTTGGTTGAGACCTTCCCGTGTGCACCATTGCATGACCATCAGAACTAGGCGAGGAAACAGTCCAATTGGCAATTGACCCGATTTAAACTTCACAAAAAGGGATGGAATACCCGCAGACGAAAACAAATCGGTGACATTCTTCGGGGGAGACATCAACATAGAAGGTACAAGATACTCACTGGGTGACCCACTCTCGTCAGACGACGGCCAAGGGCATAACAAACCAAATTTCTCCATCATGTTGATAAGACTGTCGACGTCAAAATTTTCTCGGGTGTCAAGAAGGGGATCCCACAAGTCTTCTAAGAGTCGCTTTTCCAAGATTCCCCTTTTCTCAAGCTTTTTCCACTGTTCTGTATGTTCCTTTTTACTCTTCTTGAAGGGCGGAATAGTAATCACCTCCTTGAAGACGTCTATCAACCACAGTGGATCCAAAATAACGATTTTGTTTAACTCTCGGGTGTCGTCAAAATGAATCAAAATTCTCTGGTCGTGTAGGAGGTTCAACATAGTTGGAAACTGCTCTTTAGTGGAAATTCCGCATACCTCAAGTGCAATTCTTTTCGCATCTTCGACGTAAATCCATTTGCTTCCGTGCTCAACCGTCTCTTTTACAGCCTTTTCAAACTTCAGCCATTTGATTGGAATAACCTCTTTCAGCTGAGGCAGCTTCTTGGCAGTGTCCAGCACCCCTTTTCTCAAACGAATAACCCCTTCACATTCTTCCTTACTCCCAGACTTAGTGTTGTCTACGACAAAGAAGTCCACAATTTGTTTACCATAACTTTTTTCCTTCAAATTTCCAAAAATCTCTCTTGCAAGCTCTTCAGGATCTGCACCTTTGTGAGGCTTGTCAGCATGGGTAAAGACCAGAATAACTGGGGGCTGCAGAAGTTCTGGTTGCATGGAAGTTGAAGGGGTTTCGTGAGGCTTCTCACTGTTTGGAACCAAACTAGAAACTGAGGACATCCAAAAGTTGAGATAATCCATATTACTCTTCTTAGAAAGAACGTCTTTGATAGACTTGAATAATCCTCGCTTTACTCGAGATATAGACTTCTCCTCTGGATCTCGGTTGAGATTATAAACCAAAAGGTAAATTGCCCCTCTTGTTAGAAAAAGTGGGTGGATAGAATAATAAACTGACTGCCCGCCAAAATCCCACAAAGTTGAAAAGATTTCATCTTTGTCTTCGTCAACGCGCACAACTTGAAGTAGCCTGGTAACTAATGATGCTATTTCTTCTGGCACAGCTTTAACCTTTGGTGCACCGGATGATACACAATTATTATTTAAGGAAGATGGACCTCCTTTCTTCTCAGGTACATTGTCGTAACGAGATGGGCTAGGCTTGAGTTCTTTTCTTCGTTCGTTTTTCTCGAGGCTGTTAACAATATATTGAGCTGTGTGTTTTTCAAAAGAGATTGGCTCCATGCTTGAATCTCTTTCGTGGGTTGCCTCTCCCATTTTCCAAACTTCCGTTGATACTTTACAATAGGAAGGATCTGTTTCGATGCCTATAGTACTGCATTCTTCTGGATTGAATTCCTCTCCTATAAGTGATCTCTTTAAACTTGTTTTTCCAGACTGACCTTGCCCAATGAACATGATTGGCACTCTTTTCACACTAGTTTTTCCTTCTTCGATGGCTCGATGGTAAGCTTCGAGGGCCTTAGAACCTCGAGCAACGATTTCCACAGGAACTGCAACAAAATAGTAAAACAATTAGACAACAAATAAACAACAAATAGAACAAAAAAGGACATTTACTATCTACAGACCTATTATTAATTGGGTCAAGGCTAGACATTGTCATTACTAGTTAGAATGGAGTGTAAGTCGGTGGGGATCTACCTCGCGATTCTACAGTTGTTCCTTGAAATAATAATTTCTGTAACGTTGTAAGGTGTTTTGCTTTGTTGCTTTAAAGACTTTTTAGACTACCATCGTGCTACCATAGTTGTACAGTTGTAGGTTGCTTGTTTTATTTTCCTACTCAAATTCTTTTATTATTTTTTAAAGAACACTGCCAGCGACAGAAAAAGTCTCCCCGGGTGAAAGCCTTACATAAACTAGAACAGCAAACAATGTTGAAATATTCTGAAATCTGTGAATCTGGAATTCAGGAACAAATGGAAATTTTTTTCTGTCTTTATAAAATTGTATTGTGTCCTTTTTCTTCTCAACTTTTGTATTTTGATTTGTTTCTTTTCGCTGCCTATTTATTTAATAATCTATTAAATTCTAGAAAATTAATACCCTATGTAGTGTAATTAACAAACAAATTCTTATTAGTGACTCGAACAATTACCATGCAAACAATAACGTAAATAGACCAACTGTAATTCAATTTGACTAGTGTAATTGTATTGTAATATATATATTGTAAGTAGGGCAAGTTAATGTAGTGTAAGCATCGTGTAAGAAGTAAGTATAGTGTAAGTACATATGTAAGTATAATATATAGGAAAAAAAATAAAAATAATAATAATAATAACTTAACTGAATAAGTTTGGTCGCGCCATTTGTCAGTGAGTCTCTTGACACCGAAACTTCCACTTTTCTTCTTTGTTCGCTTTAGCTCAGCACACATGGTCCCAGTCTTTTTCTTTAAGACATTTGTTATTCGATTGTCAACGATGATGCCTCTAATACCCGTTTGTTGCACGATTTTCTCCACAACTGCCGCGAAGGTAGAATCGCCACTTCCTCCTCCATTCTCCTTGGCAACTGTATAGAGAAGATAGTTGAAAAATTGATAAACAAGACCAGTATCAGACATATTCGATACTTACTGGCAACAAAATTTTAGTACCATGTGAAATTCCGTATCTCTAAGAACAAAAGAAAAAAATCAAATCGCTTAATTTATTTATGAGACTACTCACTTGTTAATGCTGCATGTAAAAGAATGGCCGGAATAATCCTGTTTTTGGACCTTCTGATCCTTCTTCCACGGCTTTTACGGATCCGCAGGAGACCAGGAGTAAAACCAATAAGAGTGCTCCACCTAGAGCGGCCATTTGACCTATTTGAATCGGTCGCAAACAGGACGAATTATATACCACAATAAAGGAAATTTCTCGTTCCATTCGAATGTGGCGGTAAAATCGAGATTTGAATATGTGCAAAAGAGCTAGGACCCATTCTTACGCGCTAACCGTGATTCGACACTTTGAACCCCTTTAAAAATTGCCTAATCGTAATTTTAAAAAATGAATTTTGACCCATCAAATCCGAAAGCTTTGACATTTCAAAATAACTTTTAAAGTAGCTTTAATATTCGTCTTTTACATTTTGTTGGTAAAATTAATCACTATCAAAGCGTTTCTTAGTAATCGAGCCAAAGGTTCCAAATTTTGTGTGTTCTTAATTCAGACCGTGGTGGGGGTGTGGTCGCCGAGACTTGATATAGGCTTTTGTTAACAGTGAGTTTATTATGTTCACTTGATTCGAAGGCTGAGGAAAGAAAATATGTTTTGGACGTCTTAACGGTAAATGGCTATACCAAAACATTTCTCCGTTACTGCCAGAAACCAGTTACAACTAGTAACACCCTTGATAAGAAGGAGCCAGTGACTGGTTTTGCTGTTATTTCTCACATTCACAGCGTTACGGAACCCATCAAGAGAATTTTGAAAAGCCACAACTTTAAAGTTACTCAAATACCTTTTCAAACTTTAGGGCATATTTTCGGCAAACCTGAGGATCCTGTCACGAAAGAACAACAGACCGACGCTATTTATTCTATTCCGTGCAATGATTGTGATCACGAGTATATCGTGCAGACCAAACGTCAGTTTGGTACACGTTTGAGAGAGCATCAAAAAGCGGTCTTCTTTTACGTAAAAGAAAATTCAGCTTTGTCGGAGCACACATGCCTAACTAAACATGGGATAAAATTATCATCACTAATCGACATTACCACCAGCGCCTTTGTTTGGAAGCCTAGCATATCAACTCCGCCCATGCTCTTTTAAAACGTGATGATAGCGGCTTACTACCTGACGCCTATTTACACCTCGTCAGAATAAAGGGCAGCCAATTGGAGAGCATATAAAATGACCTCTTTTTGCGGCGATTAGATCACCCCTGATGAAGGCACTAGACAGGAGTGTCGAAACGTTGGGTCTATGAATTGTAACTTCTCGGTTACATTCATTAAATCTTTAAACCAGAGTAGCATCAAACCATGGGTTATTGAGATTCCAGGTAATGTAGTGTTAACAACTGAGTTGAAAACGTAAATTGACCACCGTAAAGAGTTTAAAGGCCGATGTTTCGAGCGTTCGCCCTTAGTCAGAGCGATTGATGAAGGGCTAACGCTCGAAACGTCAGCCTTTAAACTCTTCACTGTGGTCAGTTTATGTTATCAAATCAGTTGTTTACACTTAATTACCTATTATACTCCCACCGACGCAGCACCACAGTTTCTTTAGAAACTTACCCCCTTTATTCATTTGATTGAGATTTCGTTTTGTCGGTAGAATTAATCACTATCAAAACGTCTCTAAGTAATCAAGCCAAAGGTTCTAAATTCTTACCTGATCTGTGACATGTAAGAATATTAAGAGGAAACCATGACGTTCTTTGCCCTTATAATAGGGGGAGTGATCTGTGTTTCTTTCATGAATGCGTGTACCAGAGAACACAAGGTTTTGAAGTGTGTTTATGTAGTCTAATGAGAGAGCGATTCTCTGTACGTAATGTGTAATGTAACGTCTAACCTGAGATTAGTGGATTAAAGTGTTCAAATAAGTCCAGTTTCGGCTGACAGATATTTCGTTACAACGTGGGCGCCCCTTACTTTATCTTGAGTATGCACTTTAGTCAGAATATCAATTGCATGAACTTTTATAGCTTTTCCTCTTCTTCTTATTTATCCTTGGCCTCCGCTGTATATTTCGCACAAAAGAAGAAAATAGTTAGAGAGGAATTCACTAAATAGACTCATCTTTTTCCACTTTTTCTACGTGGCGGACTTTGTGAAATGCCTCAGTGGAATGCATATAGGAAAGCAATTCAAAAGTCGATTTTTGAACTTCCAATAAGACACTAACAGGAAAATCTTTAGTTTTGTTTCCTCGCCCATTCTAGAGTTTTTCTTCTCTCGCTCTGTATCATTTTATTTCATTTTTATTGAACAAAATTGTTAAAATATAAAGTTGATGTACGTTCACTACAAACGACAATTTTACTAATGTTAAAACAAAAATCTATAATCTGTCCTAACGGCAGTCACCGTGAGGGAATTTTCAAGACTCTTTTGATCATTTTGGTTACCACAATGGGAACTTGGTCAACAACCTCAGCTACAGTTTTCTTAATCCAGAATCAGTAATCTTCTGTTGAGAATTCACTCAGTTTTGTCTCAAAGTCAACAATAACAGTTTCTTTTAAGGTGATCACACTAAACGATTACACTTATTTGGAAAACCAAACGATATGTAATGCTTCAGTTTCCTTCGGGGTATTTTCCATCAGTTATCATCTTCTGTCACCCCCTTTATTGTATCTTGGGCTAGCTATCGAAGTCAGTTTTGGCGATGTGTATTTATGGGAACATGTTTTAATTCAAGACGAATCTTCATATTGTTTTTCTTTTTTTTTTTCACGCGAAGCTTACTTCAGACCACCTTTTCAGTTCAGCGCAGATGTTTTCATATATAAAAGCGCAAACTTGCGTCAATTCTTACTAAGCTTGGACACAACTTTGTCAAAGAGAGTATCAAGTTATTGGAAAGAGTCTGGTACTGATATCTGACTCCCATGAAGCGCAATCTCTGACACTGTTCAGCGATCTGACAAAGAACATCATCCACAGGGGTAGGAAGACACTCTTGATAATCAAAAAACGTAAGGTTCTTGCAGTGTGTCGCTACAAGGTTCAACATGGCAGCGGTTCCACGACCTTTACGGACTAAACCAATTTCTAGACCCTCTAGGTTAGGCAGCTTGGTTAAAAATTGTTCCATTCCTGCGTTGGAGATTCGTTTAGTGTTTCGTAAATTGATGTGTTTTAAGGTGGTGCACGAGTTCGCAAGGGAGACTATACCGTAATCCGTGACCTTTTTGCAGCCCTCGATACTGAGGTAAACTAAACAAACACAAAGCTGTCCGATCTCAACGAGAACCGCATTAGTGACCCACAGACATCCACTAATGTCCAGTTCTCGTAGCAGCTTCGAGCGACGCAAAACAAAGCCGAGTCCTCGGGATAGTATCAGAGGGCACTTCGACATTCCGAGGACTTCCAGATAAGGGCAATGTCGTGCTATCATCTCGATTCCAGTGCTCGTGATTCGATTACGATTGCAGATGTAAAGTTTGCGAAGTTTGTGACACTGACGGGCGATGTGAAACAAGCTGACGTTTGTAAGACGCAAACACCCAGGTCCTGATAGGTCAATGTACGTGATAGCAGAGGACGTAACGCGCGAAACTAAACAAATAACGGTCCTGTCACGGATTCGCGGGTGGGCACAAGAGGACAAATCAATGCTTTGCCACAAACTTGGGTCCAGGCTCACGCGGCGCCACTGCTGGCAAACGCAAGACATGCGCATCAAGTCCTCAATTGTAAAATGTGAGAAAATCTTTAGCAAAAGAGCGTCTGACAAATGAGGGTATTTTCCAGTGTTGTTCTCCGTATCACTCAAAGCCACAACAACGGGTAGGCTGAAAGAAAACAAAGTGTATGCGTTGGATTTTATCAAAGCAACCAAAAGTTCTTGCAACCCGTTTAACTAAATAATTCGCTGTTCTGAGCATAACAAAGAAGCTTGCTACTTTCCTTGCGTTTTGTTCACTTCAGAAGTGTCAGTGTGTGGACCAGATCTCAAACCCGAATTTCTTCTGTTATTGTAATTCCCACGTTTTTCCTCTACGCTTCAGAAAAAGCTAAACGCATGCTCTCTCACCCTTTCTGTTTGCACAAGATGTCATATACCTCAAAAAGTGTGATAAATTGGACTGTTTTTGCAATGGCAATTCCTTTAAATATTCTTTAAAAAGAGAAAATATGTTGTTAAATTTATTGACGTGTTAATGACGAATGATGAGGTTTTATTTAAAGCCACAATTTATCGTTCGATTCGATAAATATTAGGAAATTTCATCTAACCCTTTCGCTCCCAAGATCTCATCAGTGATTCTCTAATTCTCTCTACTGTCTGCCATACAATTCTTATGATGTTAGTTCGGAGAATTTGGTATTGCATCAACTAATAATCATCTAAATCATCTTTTTCTTTATTCTCATCACTCGTGTACTAATATTGTAAGGATTTTGTGAGGAGAAATTCTGTCTTGGTCATTCATGAGAGTTAAAGGATTAATCGGATCGGAACCTATCTTATAGTCGCTATTCCAAATGTTAAGGCTGGTTTTCATAAAACGAAAAAAAGAAAGATAATCAGGAATTTTACTTGTCTTAATTCCTGCACCGTCACGATGATTTTCAAGATAGCATATTATTGAGGAAGTTATTTAAATTTCTCGGCAGGACTGGAGCCGAGCAGTTGAAGACGCTTTCCCCTACGCCATTACATTAAAAACTGTAGTTTTTCCCATATTCTCCTACATGTATGTGAGTGACGGCCCACAAAGAAGATCAAGCTTTGGGAAAATAGAAACGCTTCCAATTTTCACGATTTATCCCTCACTATCCGGGATAAATATTTGGTTTATCACTAATTTGTTCAACCTGCAGGAGACGATGAAAACAGCGACATGCTTGATCGACGAAGATATTTTAGACATTTCGAAAACCAGCATTTAGTTTCCAATCTGTCGCGGAAGCTTTTAATAAGGCGTCACATGCGGTTGTATAGAATTTAACCTGCTGCAAAAAAAAAAAAAAAAAAAAAACCTCACATAACTGAACAGACCAGTTAATGCGCACATTTTAGTTTCTTTCCTTTCAAATATTTTTCGGCCAATTTTGATGTTCTACCTCTAACTCTTAGTTATCAGGAAATGCGACGCTTGAAAACTCATTAGTGACAGGTGTGAAGTACTGGATTAACAATCATTCAAATGTGTATACTTGAAGTTCCTCCCCCTAATACATGTGCTATAATAAGTTTTGCTATTGTTATCGCAACGATGGTACCTAAATGCATTTCACTGAATGAAATTGGACGTCATCGAAAACGTGTTGTGATGTGTTTCATTATAAATAAATATTATAAAAAGCTGTTAAACCACCGAAATGCAGTTAGAAATCTTTTATAAAACGTTCAACCATGAAAAACTACTTCAATGCTCCAAACAATGGGATGTAATAGGAAATGAAATATTTTATTTGATGTTTAATTTTCCGAAGCGAAATCGAAAATATGTCAACAGAACAGGTTGTTTTTAACGAGGGAATTATCCGCGCTGTGAATACGAAAAATTTTTTATTTATTTCCCTATGGAGGGTAAACATGAGGTAACATCTGGTAGACTTACGAAAGTAACTATTCCACGTTTGTCAAAACAAGTCTTTACTCACTTATAAAATGTACGCTTTCCTGTCACCAATTATATATTATTCACTTTAAAGATACTATTTTATCAAACCTTTTTTCCGAGCCAACATCAAAAATTTCGTAAACTAGAACTGTTTTTAACTTATTTTCTTGTGATGCCAGTTTCTTTTGAATTTGCACAACATATACAAGCTTACTGATAATCTTCTCTACAGTTTCTAGTTTTCAATATTCTCGGTACTGTTCATCATATCATAGTAAACTGTGCAACAAAAACCATTTACTAATTGTTGTAAAAATTTTGCTATCAGTTTGGTATACTTACCTTCTCTGCTCTTGAGAAGTCTTGTTTTGAATGATCGTAATATTTCGCGAACGGCTGTGGTACGACAAAGCAGATCCCATATCGATCGCCGTTTTCACCGCCTCTTAAGCTCGAGCGGAAGCGACTTTCAATGTAAGCGCACAGACGCATCAACGTAAAACGCCGCAACTGGTCATTCCCACCCGCTCGCCGCTCATAGTTTCAAAATATGCACTCCATTGGCTATTACTGATGTTGTTTTGTTGCTTTCAACGCGTGGAAATACGGCGTATGAAATATTTTTCTTTGGTCACGTGCTATTTGTTTCCACAGAAACAAGTCGAGTGCACGCGCATTGACTGAAGCAGATCGGAATTAACAATAAATGAACTTTCCATGCGCAGAACGCTGAAACATCCCTATTTACTGCATATCTTTCAGCGTCGCTTTTCATTACCGCAATTAGATTCGAGTTTTTGTAGCGCGCAAATTTTTAATCAACTTATTTCCTCGGAACAATGTTTACATTAAGGGCGACAAATATAATTGAACTGTAGGGGAGGCAAGTGCAAACTGTGCCAGAAACTATCGTAACCGCAGACTGGATAAGAGAAAATTTTGGAATAATTTGTTGGTCGAAACACGATTGTACAAACCGCCAACAACCTGTAACAGCTAAGCGGAGGGCTTAGACACCTGTCGAAGTTATTAGCATTTTCATAAGCAAATGACCGCTTCGAGGGCAAGTTATGTTTATTCATTATCCTCATATCTGAGTGCCTGCCTGCACAACTTATGGCTCACATAGATTTCTTTGTCAGCTCGACTAAACAGACGTTTAGAAATTCAGGGCGCCGTCAAACTTCTTAAAAGCAAGGACACCTTATGCCGTCTCAGTGGTGTGAAGGTGATGGGCTGTGGATTTTCAATCCGACATAAAAACCGACTGGATCTGCCAACTTATAGGGCATCGATCACATCGGGGTATGTGCCTGTATCCATGTATACCTGTTGTAATTTTTTGACGACTTTTTACACGCGCGCAATACAAATTCCGTTCGGCGGATGACAATCTCTATGAACGTTATATATTAGTGCGATGCCAATACTGTTAACTCTTAACTTTAATCGTATCGGCCCGGTTAGGCAAAGTTGTTGACTTCCTAACTCGAAAAAATCTTGTTGAAAGCATCTCGCATGTTTTTGTTGTTTATAATAGGCAAAAGGGCATTGTTGATTTTAACAATGCCAGTTTGAACCGCACTGGTGACTATTGTTACGCGATTTTCAGAACGAACGGAAAGTAAATACATGTCAGGAGAGGGGATTGAAACTATCGAGTTCCTCTTTCTCGTTTCGAGCCAAATAAAATTTTTTCTCGAAGTTCGTAACTTGTTATTAATGCACCGTGTCATAATATGCCGCAGCAATAAGTTTTCAATTTGATCACAAGAAGGGGGCATTACTTCACATTTACAGAAAAGACGGAAATACATATAAAGAAAAAGAAAAGCGGTATTTGCCAGTCTGAAGCATAAGTTCGAAATATAATTTAATTTCTTTCGCCATAGTCTGAAAATTCACTAGAGGATTGCCGCCCTCCGAATTTTAGGCTGTATGAATTCAACGTGCCGACGTTTTTGTCTCGTTTAGGAATTACGGTTCGATTTTAATTAAATAAAACTAATAATGAAAACACTTCATGAAATATCAGTAGATACTTTAAAAAATGCGCCCATACGTTCTTTCTGTAATGCCCGCAGGTGAATTTTCTCATTTCCATGCGAATCAATAATCAAAGAAGCTTTAATTAGCATTTCCTTTTGAGCAGATTTTTGAGGATTTTGTCGGTATGTTTCGCTTCAGATCACAGAATTTAACTCCTTGGGAATGTTCTAAATTTTTTATCATCTCCAATTCAAGGTTTACCGAAACACCACTAAACGAGCATTCTATTTCTGTCTTACCTCGTCAGTTAGCCCACTAAAACCACCATCTTAACTCTCGCTTGGTTAGATCCTGTGACAAGCGTCATGGAAGCCGAACCACTTCAAATTTTCCAAAAAATTCACTTAGACACAATTTTCCTCAGTGCGTTGTCTGATGAAACGAAGTTTTTAAGAGGATGTTGTCAAACCTCTTTATTACATTATGTATAATTAAGGAATTTGTCTTAAAAGCTTTAACTTACGATAAGGAAATCATTTTTCTCCCAACGCTCTTATATCGGTAAAATAGCAAAAATTATTCATCATGTTTTGTATTGCTTGCGACACTGCCTTTTTCCTTCTGAGCCTATGTTTTGAAAAAAAAATTGTAATGTATACACGAAAACGCGTTTGGACACGTTTGGAATAATTTCTGCCTTAATAGCTTCAGTTTGATTCTTGGTAAATATTTGCATAGGGACTGACTGAATGCTGATGACTATTAGTAAGATAAATATGTGGTTTCTGTAAAAACCAGACGCTGTTTTGCATAAAACAATTCTTCAGCCGCGCTCACCTCTCAAGGCAGAGAGGGGGCGGGAATTCTTTAACCAAGGCTAGCCTTTGCGGTGAGACATCCACATGCACTTTCGCTTCGTCCAACCACTTTTTGAAAATCACTTGTGACTATATTATGAAGGCTAGCTTTATCTCACTAGATTCTTTTTATCGCTTAAAATACTTCTGGATTAAGAATATGACCATGTTCATATACCTCGTGAATTTGAAGTTTGTATGAAATTGTGGGAAAACTGACTTCTCCTCCCGCCAAGGAGAAACATTTTACGGGAAGGGGGGTTTAAGACCGGTCGATAAAGATGCATGTTAACCTGACGAAACATTGCAAACATCATTCTGTTATATTTTAAACATTTTGTACATAAATCCTTGGTAAAATTGACCAGTGATTTCAACGGTGTGGGGTTGATTTAACATCAAATGGAGTTTTACCTAAGTAACGACTTGGCAAAATACAAGTATGCCTACTATTACTTTTGCACACCGGCGGGGAACTAACATGCACCATAGCCCGTCCCCCCCCTTTTCTCCTTCACTAGTGCCTATTTTCTTCCCCACCCCACCCACCTCCCTCAACCAATGCAACCATCCCCTTCTGTTTAAAACTTACCTTCATGTCGTTTCAACTTTCATGCGGCTCTTAAAGGTCACTAGATCTTCAGCCTTAAAGATGGTTTAACCAATTACAGTTGATCATGTATGAGCGCACGATTCAAATTCACCTTGCTGACAGAGTTAATTATTATTAACCCTTTAACTTCCAAGATCTTTTTAGTGATTCTCCTTACTCTATGCTATACAATCTTCTGATGTTACTTATGAGAATTTGGTATTGGATCATCTAATAATCCCATAATTGATAATTTTCTTGGTTCTCATCACTTGTCTTCTTGATTTTGTATTGATATTGTAAGGAGAAATTCTGTGTTGGTCACTCATGGGAGTTAAAGGGTTCATTAGAGAACGTATCTCTCTCTATGCGTTAAGTCCATCAAAACCTCTTTTACTAAACATACGTTTTACGTTGAAAACCTGATTTTATGTCCAGGTTGGACCCCAGGACGAGACCAAGACACTTTTCACGCGGCAAAAAGTTCCCTTTCTTTAATCTCGAGGCAAACGAGTGTTTACTTCTCAATTATTATTATTTTTTATATGGATTCTGCTAGACATTTTTAACAATAAACTTTCACATTACAATAGTGGATGCATTTTCGAAATATCCTCCTCTTAAAAACACTTCAGCGATTCGGTTACTAGTGTTCACCACACTGGTGATTGGTGCTTTTTGCACACCCTGATTGGCCAGTTCAATGTGATTAGTGAGTTACATTCACCTCTGTATGAGCAAGCGAAGAGACAAAACCGCTCGACAAGAGTTTAATTTCCGACCTCGGTATATCGACAGAAAAAAAACAATTTTTTGGTTTCTGTGTAAAATATACACAAACATTTATTGACTACAGTGTCGGTTAAAGGTGAATTTATATCGAGCTGCTTTAAAGCATTGGTAACAAGGGCGTGACCGCAGTGGTTGGAATGAAAACAAAAAAATAAAAAAACGATGTTCGCGAAGATTCCATTAGATTTAAAAAATCTCTTCGCATCAAATATTGGCCATAAGGAATGTTTGCCCATATGTTTCCAATATGAATGTTTTTCAAAACAATTCGTACGTGATTGAACTCAAATCGCCATATGTACAGGTCGAGGCACATTGCTTTCAAAGCTATATGAGGCACAGCTAAATGTACTGCTACATTAGCAGTACATTTTAAGAAGCACCAAATATATCGAAAAATTCGTTTTAGGCACGCTGATCACGCTAAGAAAACATCTAATTCAATCGTTCAGCTTTTAAAGGAGCTCTGCCTAGATTTTAATGAGTTCTTTTCTCAAAACCAAATATTTTCAGAAATGGATGTCTGATTTAAATTTCTTACGCTTTGCAATTTGCCATGTCTAAAAACTGAATTTATTTTTGATTATTCGTAATAATTTATACGAGATTTTACATACGGTAAGAGTCACGTTTGGAAAAAGTGGCGTGTTACGCAAGTTGAGTGTTGTCGATATTTTGGCATCAAAAAGTTTCTTATCTTTATTTCTTTTGTTGTTCCTACAGAGCAGCCGACGAATATCGTTTTTTCACTTTAATTCTCTACTATTAAACATTCACCACCACATAGACAGCGTTTCAATATTATACCCGTAAAAATTCCGAATCACACCGAGACTGCTTCTTGAAATGCAAAGCTTATTTTATCGCTTTTTTGAGTTAAATGTACATTTTTGGGGGCTCGAGTATTAGAAGGAACATTTTACTTTCATTTTCTTATCTAAAATGTTTATCTCAATAGAGAAAACGAAAAAGGTTCCCGTTGACATTTTGAAGTTTTAGGACTTTATCCCGAAATCAATATTTTGGAGCGAGAGAACGTAATCGGAGTACCACGTTCTTAGTTAACAAAACTGCAGTAAGGAATTTACCGAACGGGCTCTTAAATAACGAACAAGATTGAGCTGATTTGATTGAAGACGTTCCTGGAATCTGTTCATCATACTTTTGGATTTCACTGAATTTTATTCCTATT